TCTTTTATATACATATATATATGCTTTTCTACTTCTTAAGGATTTTTTTTTCTTATATTGCTTTTGCTGTTTGCTTGAATTAGTTAGTTATTGCTCTTTATGATGCTTTGAGTAATTGTCCTGGTTGAAATCTTCAGATGCCCATTGTAGGGTTTTGATTGATGTTATATTTTTTTTGTGATTTCATGGCCCTACCTTTACTTTATTTACTTGGTCTATGCATGTTTCAAATACTTCTATTTCCCATATCATGCTTGTGCCGTTAGCTCATGGCTCACTTTGGTGGCTTGAATCCATAACCATTATCCTTAGGCTTAAGTTAAAAATGGAATTGAGCTATGTGGGATTTTGCAGAGTATTTATTATTGAAGAAATATGTCTCATCGCAAGTTTGAGCACCCAAGGCATGGCTCATTGGGGTTTCTCCCAAGGAAAAGGGCCTCCCGCCACAGAGGAAAAGGTTTTTTTTTTTTCTCTTATTCCCTTTAAATTGTTTATAGTTAGAAACTATTTATGTTTATTTAATAGTAATATTGTTGGATCACCCTATTGTTTAAATTCATTATTGCATCTTAAGTAATCATACTGATATTGAATTAACTGTCTCTGTTGAACCCTGTTTGGTTTAATAGTTTGTGTTTTAATTTGGTACTAATCCCTGAGGTTGTAATTGCTAATACCATCCCCTTTATTATCATGTTCATCATGTGAATTTAATTGGCTGACATGTTTAGTTTGTCATACATTGGCATGATCAAACGTATCTGAATTCCTGCTATGATTGTGTTTAATTAAAATTTGCTTCTAATTTCTGTTGCATGTTTTATGGTTGTTCAGTGAAGGCTTTCCCAAGAGACGATCCTACAAAGCCTTGCAGATTAACTGCATTCTTAGGATATAAGGCTGGAATGACCCATATTGTGAGGGAAGTTGAAAAGCCTGGATCAAGTACGTTTTTGTTTCTATGACTCATGATTGGTTAATTGCGAATTAGTAGATAGACTGTTGCTGATGTACCTGGTTTAAGAAATAGTACACCATTTGCTTTTTACGCGCTTCCTTGCATGATCTATTTCCTCCATGTTTAGGTGGATAGCTTAATGTATTTATGTTCTTTTCTTCCAGAGCTTCACAAGAAGGAGACATGTGAAGCTGTTACTATCATTGAGACGCCACCCATGGTTGTTGTTGGAGCTGTTGGATATGTCAAAACACCCCGTGGACTTCGAACTTTGGGCACTGTGTGGGCTCAGCATTTGAGTGAAGAGGTGAAACGAAGGTTCTATAAGCACTGGTGCAAGTCTAAGAAGAAGGCTTTCACTAAGTATTCAAGGAAGTTTGAAACTGAAGATGGTAAAAAAGACATTCAGTTGCAGCTGGAAAAATTGAAAAAATATTGTACTGTAATTCGTGTTTTGGCCCACACCCAGGTATTTCCCCTTGAAACATTTCTATATTTGTAACTATGTTTTAGTCCTTCCAATTCTTGATAATTGAATGCTTTAAGTAATATGTTTTCTGACTTCTTTGATTTCTTCCATTGTGTGTTTCTGTAGATAAGAAAAATGAAGGGTTTGAAGCAGAAGAAGGCCCACTTAATGGAGATTCAAGTCAATGGAGGAACTGTTGCTCAGAAAGTTGACTTTGCTTACAGTTTCTTTGAGAAACATATTCCAGTTGATGCTGTGTTCCAGAAAGATGAGATGATTGATATTATTGGGGTGACCAAAGGTAAAGGGTACGAGGGTGTGGTGACCAGATGGGGTGTCACACGTCTCCCACGTAAGACTCATCGTGGTCTTCGCAAGGTTGCTTGTATCGGTGCATGGCATCCAGCTAGGGTTTCGTTTACTGTTGCCAGGGCTGGGCAAAATGGCTATCATCACCGCACCGAGATGAATAAGAAAATCTACAAGCTTGGGAAGGCTGGCCATGAGTCACATTCTGCCATGACTGACTATGACAGGTTAGCCCAACTGTCCCTTCCCTAGCTTGCTGTTCATATTTTAAGGTAATTATTGCAACTGAGGCAAGTTTAATTGTTATTTGCCTTTTCTCCTATTTTCAGGACTGAGAAGGACATTACCCCAATGGGTGGATTCCCCCATTATGGAGTGGTAAAAGAGGATTATTTGCTGATCAAAGGCTGTTGTGTTGGGCCAAAGAAACGGGTTGTGACGTTGAGGCAGTCCCTGTTGCGTCAAACTTCCAGGGTTGCTCTTGAGGAGATCAAGCTGAAGTTCATTGATACATCATCTAAGTTTGGACATGGTCGCTTCCAGACAACACAGGAAAAGGCCAAGTTCTACGGGAAGCTCAAGGCTTGACATGCTATTTTAAGGAGGGATTGTTTTTTTCTTTTTGCCTTTCATCTTTTGGTACAATATTTTAGTTATTTTCTGATTGCCCTCAATTTCCAATATTGTTTGACATGGTTCCGACTTAATATTGTAGTTTTTTACCATGATTTTGACGATAATTTTCTTTTATTATCATCAATTTTGTGCCCAAATTTCTTTCGGTTTTTAGCTTTTTCACTGAATCCATTCTTCGATTCATGATGAACTCGCGGCCCATCTGACTGTTTATGTGTATATAAGTGCTTTCTCCTTCTTGTTGGAAGCTTGAAATTCATATAAAATAAATTTGATTCATAGATGAAATGCGTAAACTAATGAGGGTTTATGGTTTTTCTATTTATTTGGGAAAGGAAGATTCATACCCAAAATCATACGCGTTAGTTACATACCCGAGTGTCATTCTTTTTTCTTATTTTCCTTGTGCATTTTTGCGCAGTCATCCAAAAAAAGGAAATTTTTGTGGTGTTTGTTCTACGATCGTTGTTGATAATAAAAGCTTTTGTCATAAGTTTCATTAGGTGGGTAGTAGCATGATTTCATGTGAAAATTCAATTGCAAATCAACATAAACAAGGATAATCCATTATCCTTTTAAATCTGTATCTGATTCGGCCATGGCATCATTTCTACACGCGCAGCAAGAGAGAGAAACAGAGGGAAGGAGGCACATGGAAACAAGTGGGAGTTCAATGGTGAATAAGGCCAAATGAAAGAAAAAAAAAAAAGCAAAGCTTTGACTGAGTAGTGTGATAAAGATTAAAGAAGTGAATCATAACTATTAAACAACAGTCTGCGCTAGATATGGGAGTGTTGATACATGGAATATAATCTTTGCTTTAGTTTATTTTTTGCTTACAAGACTCAAAAAAAAAAAAAATCTTCTTGTTGGAAAAGGAAAAGGTTGCTTGTGTCAGTGTCAGGGACTTGGTTGTCAAAAAGAAGAGAAAAAAAGATAAAGGAGAGAAATTTATGCTTGCTATCTGTTCTTTTGTTTTTCAACATCTGCTGTAGTGTGCTTTCCTATCAGTCTCCTCTTTTACAAATGTCTTACATGGACATGGGAAACAAACAATTATCTTTTCTTAAAATGACCTTTGTGCATGAATTGTATTTGTTTAACTCAGTCAACATTGAATACTAAAAGCATACATACACATTTCATGTAATTGAATCAATTTTTATCTACAAATCCAGGCAGGAAAACATGGTGATTCTTGCTCTGATAAAGTTCATTTTTCTAGTACTTCGGAATGGATATTTGTTCCCCATTACCCTCTCTTCCCTAACAACTAGTCGAATGATATGAAAACTCAGTGTTACATAAATTTGTTTCTTTCTACGAATGTGATACAAGATGATAAGTTAGCTTAAATTCAAAACTTTAGGAATTTGATTTATTTTCAGACAGGTCTAGATAGGCTTTCACATCATTCTCAGACATTTTGATTCTCTTGTTGACAAAGAGTCTTTAACTCAATGCATCTCAGGTTAAAGAACCTCTTTCTTTCTCAAGGGTCCTTTTCATAACTTACGCTGTAATTATTGCCTTTTTTTTTCTTTTTATGGAAACCCTTGTCTGAGAGCGCGGGAAAGAGAAAGATAGAGAGCAACGTTGGTCTGTTCAAGAAAGAAAACTAATAGCAGTACTACAAGTTTTAAGATAGGATTGGATTCTTCCATTTTTATTGTTAAAACTATGAAAAACTTGCAAATAATAGAGCTATATTGTGGCTTTAGTGTTTCTGACAAAAGTAATGGGGCATATGGGTTCCTCCCCACCAGGTTACTTTAAGAAAATATGAGGAATAATTGTGGTCTACTACATCACCCCCATTTCTAGCTCTACCCTTTTTGCCACAGACTATTTTCTTTCTTCTCTTGAATCATGACATTTCTGGTATTGCATAGCTGTAAGGTATCCCAACATTAGTTCTCTCTTTCTCATCTCTTTTCTCTTAAATATTCAATTCTATTTATTATTGTTTTTGTGTTTGCTTTGATCACATGCCTATTCATTCCCTAAGCTATTTAAAATCTTATACTACAACATATAGTTTAACCTTTCAGCAGCCTTTGGTTAATTATTTCAGTCTTCGATATTCTCTAGCAGCTTTATGTTTTATTTTGTTTTCTTTGGTTTAGTTGGAGATCATGTGAGATTTCTCCATCTTTCCCATGATTACACACCTGAATAGGTCAGACATTAATGATACCTAGAAAACCTTTAAAACCTTTAATCTAGAAGGTTTTGCCTACCTCATGTATTCCCTCTAATATTTATGCACTAATTCTTAATGATAGTTATAATCATGATCTTTCATGTGAAAATTTGCTGCAATAGTGAGTGGAAATAATTGTATCTTCGAGTTTTTTACCACGGAAATGCAGTTAATAATTATAATTATATTGGAGCAGTTGAGCAATAACAACTTGATATCATCCCTGTTAAAACCCAGAATTAAATTCAGAATTCCCACCTGAATATGTAAATTCAAGAATTAAAAAGTGACAACTTTTGAAAAGAAACCAATAGACCACTCTTTTTATTTCGGCTCTCCAGACAGGAAGGCCCATGCTTTTGATTCCTTTAGTTTTGCTTCTTCAGACACGATATAGTATTCATTAAGTTAGGCATCGGGATCTTTGTCTTTACATTAATTTTCAATTGGCAATAAAAGCTATCTGCACTGAGTTTGCTTTCTTTAAATAATTCATTGAGAAGTGTGGGTGTCTTGTTTTTCCAGGGCAGTTGAGCTATAGGATCCAAGGACTAAGATCACGTTTGCTTCTAGTTCCCAGGACCAAATTTCAAGGCTTCATAGCTTCTTTTAACAACAGGTTGGTTTATTACATCCCTTCATGGCATGACAATTCACTTGCCACACTGCACAAACGCCGGAATAGGATCACCGGAGAGTCACTGAAAATCTGCTGTTTTTTCTCTTGGTAAGTATTGATAAGTTTGTTTTCATTTGTAATGATACCAGCGGCATTCCAGTCACTGCTGCTGAAGTATTTAGAATTAGGTGATATGTGCTGTGGAACTTTGGGTCAATGTCCTTTGTTCAGTTTTTCATCATACATCTATGATTTCTTCCTAGTTCAGTGATATCGATCGCAAGGTTGATAATCATCAAGAAGTCAGTTTTAGAGCTCTGGTCTGTGATATCAACAGTACTAAGTTATTTACTCTTGGATTATATTGAACTAATATTGAACTTCCTGAATGTGTTCATTCAGCCATCTTTCTTAAGTGAAGAAACCACAATAGTCAACTGGAACTTGATTCTGTACCACCCCTTATTTTGGGCCTTTGTTTCTATGGCAGCCTGAAAATGCCATTCCCATCTCTGGCTTTTTTTTTTTTTTTTTCAAACAGAAAGGCTGAAATCACCCGAAAACAAGTTTGTTTCTTTTCTTTTCTTGGAGTCCTGGATTTCTTTTCCTTCTCATAGACTTGAAAATAATTTTTATCTTGTCCTATGCTAAAATTTTTCTTAATACCTTTTTGCCTAGTCCATGTGCTATGATTACTTTGGAGAATTTTGAAGAAACTACATTACTATCATATTTTCATTCATGATTAGTTATCTTACAAATGTCAATAATGGTAATAACTCATCAAAATAAGTAATTTGTGCCCTGTTAGTCAAAAGGTCAAATTTGTGGGTGAGCTATTGACCTGATTATATGGTTTCAGGAGGCCCTTTTTTTTTGTCTTTCATAATTATTGCCATTGTTTGTGGCCTCTTTAGACCCAGGGAATCTGACCCTTCCCCAGACCTCTCGCATAGCGAGAGTTTTACGCAGCTGCTTTTTATTTTTTATTTTTAAATAGATGTGTACAAGGTTTGCTGAAAAAATTACTTGAGCATTTCATGGCAGATGTCATTGGCAACACCCTTTCCTCTTGTTAATTCATCACATATTACCAATTTTGCCATGTCACTGTTGTTCCTTGTGCTAAATGCATTTTCTCATGAAATCACTACATTGAAAATTTGTCATAGGAGACATTTTGCCATTGAAATATGTTTTTCATTAATGTTCCCACCTACCTGGATTAAAAAATTTGTCCATTTTCTCTGTATTAGAATTTTTATGATATCCTTTGTCAATTTCTTTTTCAGAGACTATGACAACTCAAGAATGAGGAATGGCATTAATTTTCTGAGAAGAAAAACCAGCTGCTACGCCTAAATCTGCTGTAAGCATATTTTGATCATTCACAAGTTCGAGAAAGAACTATGAATGAGTTTGGTGCTGAAAGATCAAGTCCATGGAACATATACACAGGTTCGGATCCGAGTCCATCTCAAACAGTAGTTGATAAGGAAACTCCGGGGAAAAGCTTCGGAACATCCATGAATGCCATTTCTTTTGGCTTTGTTGCTACAGCCATCTTGATATCAATGTTCCTTATCATGGCCATCTTTGAACACCTTTTTCGTCCAAATCCTGCTTTTTCTTCACCTGATCAAGTTACGGATGGTGCTCTAGCATCTGGAGAAGTTGAAAAACTTGGGAATCCACAAAGAGTAAGTTACTATATCTTCAGGCTCTTATGTTAACCCTATAATATCTGTGAATGAAGATCATCCAAATCAAAAGTCAGCAGGAGGTTAAATATAAAACATATTTCCATTTCTGGAATATGCTTGTTTCAATCAATCGTGGAACTGACCTTTGTTGTATATATGTTCCGATGGATGGCAGGAATCAACATCATATGCATCTGATTTCTCAGTAGTGATGCCAGGAGAGCAATATCCTACCTATATTGCTCAACCTGCTCCCCTACCTTGCCCAAGGGAAGGCATCTATTGGCCCCCCCATGAACATAATTTTGTATTTCCTTAAGTGTACAAATGCACAAAGCATCATCGAGGATGCATGTAATTTATCAACAATCAACCTTCCTCTTTTCTATAATCCATTATCCAATGAAATATTGCATCTTGAAGCTGGTTTGCCCTCATTTTTTTAAACAGAGGGATTACCCTCATGAACACAGCAACTTGACAAATTGATATTAGAAACAAAGAAAAAAAATTATATATAGTACAAGATAAAAATTTGTAAGTAATGAATACAATGATATAACCACCACCCCAAATCCAACACATCCAAACATATCTCTTCAGACTTCTTATGCGTCAACTTCCCAGTCCTTTTCTTTTGGGATTTTCTGATCTTCAGAAAATTTTTCCTAATTATATTTGGCAAGGGAAAAAAAGGGTGATAAGTGGTCAAAAAATATGCTAGTGCTCCTCTATGCCTTCTTCATCAGGTAATATTGCAGTCAATAAAGAATACTTAACCCGGAGAGAGATCCTTCCCCTCTCAACAAGTAATCTTGCCCCAGAAACGACCCAATATCCAGGAATTTCTTGTGGCCCTCTTGTCAGCTCTGTTGTATCAACGAATTTCAAAAGCTTGGGGGCTTGAACAGGAACAGGAGGGCCTCCAGGATAAACAGCAGAGTTTATATTCACATCAACTGGCCTGGGAGGTGGCTTCTGAACTGTAGTGAAGTGATGACTGATTAGTGTGGATATGAGTCCAGACTTAGGGGCCAACACAGGCGATCCATCCCATTCTGGATGCTTAACAGACATTGCCCCCACGACAGTTGAGAAGCGTAGTCGTAAAAAGAGAATATTTTTAAAACCATGATTCTCAACCTGCAATCGGGCTCCAGTTACTATGGAAAGGTCCTCATCAGACTCAACAGGAGCAGTGCATACGTGAGAGTAGTTCTTCCAATAAACTTTCTCATAGTATTTACGATCATGAGACTCTTGGCAGAAGTTCCCATTTGGATCATCTACAAGTTGGAAAATTTTTGGAAGGGAGGAAAGGTGCTGCATGTGGATGGCTAAGCGGTTGCTTCGTCTACCTTCTAGATATAGTCGGAGGCCAGTCACTGGCCTCTTACCCACATCAACCTGTCATGAAATTATATAAAGTAGAAATTAGCTATAGTTCCTTTCTTTTGATATGAACAAACACTTAGCCAGAAAAGGCTACAGCGTCAATGATCCTAGAGTTACTATCGGTTTCCAACTTCATATCCAGACTATGAAACAAAGTTGAATAGTGCTCTCTTTGGGAGACCTAAAGAAGATGAAGTCTTGGATAAACTGTTACTGATATGAGTTCCACCAGAAGCATTTTCTTTGATATAACTATAGATAAATCTTGTCTAATTACAAAATGCTATTTCCTTGTTAACAATTAACATACAATCATCATGGCACAGATTTCTTTTACTTTAAAATGCTGAGACTTTAGTGATCATCTATAATCCAACACCAGCATATCGACATGTTATCAAGTTTGTCTAGCCAAAAAGGCAACAAGAACTACTCAACACATACATGGATGAAACCTACATAGTCAAACACTTGATGCATCCTACAAAAAGCTAGAAAGTTTTTAATTTAACAAAATTCTTTACCAGAGTAGTGTTCACAAAAAGCTTGGGCCCCATGAAGCTGAATTGTAAAGATGCAGTGCTTTGTTGCTTTCGTTGTGGACCAAGAGGAAGTTCATTGAAAACTGGTGCCCACTGTCTTGGAAGCTGAAATTCCAAAAACTGGTGGAGTTCTTCAATCGGTGGTTTATCTGTAAGAGCAATAGCTTATGGATGAAACATGTGTAGACTGTTTGCAATATAAATAAAGAAGTACCATTTGCAGCGGTAACCAAAAATGAAGGAAAATAAAGTCCAATTGCATTGTTTCATGACACATCAAATGAAACAATAGAAAGACCGATCAATTATTCTATTCCAAATATCTCTCTCTTAGTTCAACCGTTCAAGCACAGCTAGTTAAGGATTCCATGATAACAAAAGTGATCCAAGATCACATCTTATTGATGCAGTGTGCTACTCACTGACAACTTATGGTCATTTAATAAAGGTTTTAACCAAAATAAGCTCATAACTCTTGGGTTTGATTGCCTTAGAATTACATAGCAATAAGATGGTTAATGAATTTATGATATCTTATATTTGACATATTGTCAGAATATTTTGAAGAAACAAAAACCTGAGGCACACTTCTTCCAGAAAATACTAAATGCATTCCAAATTTAAAAAAAAAAAAGTGAGACACGATAATTCAAATTAGCAGCAGAAAACCATAATGCATTAGATGGACAGACAGAAATACAGGTCTTGCTTACATCGCAAATACAGATTTATGGCATGGCTCAGAAATCCACTACCCTGGACTCCATTCAACAGAGAAGTAATTGGGATAAAGGACATTGAGATCACATCAGGCTCTGACTGAACTGTTTGTAACCAGTCATTATGAGATAGGTTTCTATTATCACTTCCACCTCTCCTTTTGTAAATGCTTACAATATCCTGCAATTTTTAGTTAATTATTAACAAAATTGATATTGGGAAAAAAATTTAAACCTTTATCAAGGGACCTTAACTAACAAGCTAACAAGATCATATAAAAGTCAGAACACAAACCTCTTTATGTGCATATGAACTTGATGGACTATTATTTGCAAATGTCAGCTGCTGCTCCCTGATTTCAAACTGAAACAGAAATGATTAAATAAGGCACCTTAGAAGATATCGCAAATTATGCCAATGGTTCACTTATAAGGATTATTGACAGACAAATTAAACCTAATAACAAATTTAAAACAAAAAAAAAATCACCATCAAAGATGGAAGCAGATCAGAAATATGCAGATGACAAGCCATAATTTCTTTATTCAATAGATTATTAATCTCTACTAACAAAGGCAAGCAATTAAAGCATAGAGGGTCAAAGTAATAAAATTAAAAATAAAATTGTCAACCTACTTGAAAGACCTAGAATACAACACTATCCTCATCAAACAGTGGCAAAGCAAAAACAATTACAAATCCAGATCCTGGTCTAAAACGTAAACAGTTTAAACAGTACAGACTTTTCATATTCTCTGGCAACTATTTAACTGGTATCTCACTAGCAATCATGTAATACCAATGTGATACGGGGTTGTAGTGTTAGTATGTTAAGAAAGAGAGAAACTCTCCCTTTTGAAAGTACTTCTCTAAACAAATTTTGAAGCCAATACACAACAACCAGCAACAACTTCCACAATAATACCCTGCTTCCCAGGTCTCTCATGGAGACTGTACCCAGTTGTAAAAGAATATTGATTTCATTCCATCCAAAGGAGAAGCATGATTTATCAAGATACACAACTACAGATTTGAAGAATATCATTGACAGTCTAGGGCAAACCTTGTCACTCTCAAAAACTTGCTCAGACCCCATACTATAATGTCCATTGGCATCTAAAAACCTCTTATCAGCCATATCCTTCAATCTTTTCTGGATATCAGCAGGTTGAAGAGTCGAGGAATGCTGCTGTTTTATGTAAATAACATCCTTCCCTCCCATCTTCACACCAACAATAATATGAGTGCCGTAAGTGTAAATAAACCTGGGATGCCACCAAAATTATATAAGAGACCTCAAATAGTATACAGAAGAAAGTAAGAACATTAAATAAAACAGGCAATAGACATCAGAAGATTTTATACCCAAACACCACAAAACAGCATTCTACTTATTTTCATCAAGAATATACAGGCCAAACCAGTATAAAAGAAACTAGAAAGTTGATCGTTGAATTGTTCTCCATGTGATGGCAAAATTCAAAGAGAGGTAGAGAGAAATAAGCATGGGATGAAGCCCAATTCATCAAATAAGGAAGAAAACGCCTCCTAAACCTGGTCTTAATTAAGAACTCCATCACCAGAATTCAAAGATAAAATTTGAGTAGAAATTCACCTTGCCAATGCTGCAGGTTCCCATGTTGATGGGACTGCTTTCTTGACATGATCTCGTAGCACCATTTGAGGTTTCTCCACCGCAACTGAGTAGAGGGTGATGAACACCCCATCAAAAGCAAGTGTCTTGGTATTGGCAGCATCTTTTTTCCAACAACCAGAGAATTCAAACATGTAATTGAAGAGGCCGGAAGGTATTTTTCCAGTCAAAGATATTTCTTGGTTGAACTGCTCCGACATCTGGAGAAAATAAAAGAAAAGAAATGAGAAAAAGCAGACTCTCAAGACAGACTAAAAAAATGTATAAATGGAACCAAATCGCAACATGACTAGCATTTCTCATATATCTTCTAGAGGATTTGACTCATGCCACAGCAATTGAAATACTAATACATATGGATATTGATAATATCAGCTAATAAGCAGGTAGGGTGTAATTTTTACATCCGAACAGACTACTTTTGTGAGAAGAAAAACATAAAAACCAAATTATTGATACGATAGCATTGAACAAACAATAAACTATTAAACTATTACCTGTTGGAAGGAGAGAACATCAGACCTGAATCGAGTACGCTCCCCTTTATCACATTTTATTGACTTGGACACGTTGGGTATGGAAATTCCACCAGGCAAAACAATCTCACGGCCTCCATCTTCATCAATCTCAATAAGACATGGATCTTTTGAATCTCCTTTACAGTACTTCAGCCTAAGATCCATTCCGACATCATATCCACATCCAATGGACCGAATGGCAATCTCAGCCGCCTTTGGAGCTAGAACCTTAAGCGCCATTGCTCAGTGCATCACTCTTTTTCAACAAAATTGAAACCAAATTCTACACTTGATTCAATCATTCAAAATAAACAAACTTTAGTCCAAGTAAAGCAACAATTTTTTTCAATCATTTCCATAAATAAACCTAACCCAAATTCTACAAATAGCTGAACTTGTAAAAACCTAACAAAAACCATCGTCTAAAAGCATGTTTTACCAAAACAGAGCAGAGCATAAGTCTTTAAATAGCTCAAAATTTCAAATATATATCAATTGAAAGCAAATTTCATTTTTTCCAACAAACAAGCAGAGCTAAAACGAATTTAGCTCAAGTTAACAACATTCAGAGCCCAAATATAGTTCAAATTGAGCAAAGATCCCTAAATTCATGAAAAGAAAAGATCCCAAAACTGCAAATAGACTCAAATAAATAAGTTAGCTCAGATTAGACAAAAAAAATTCGCACATTTTACGCAGGCCAAGAACTATAGTGGAAAACTTTGGTGGGAGTTTTTTGAGCAGATTTTGAAGCTCAAACAACCAATCAAAGTGAAGCTCACGCAATTTGAAGCCCAAATGTCAGTCCCTTTGTTCGATTTCGAGGTTTATCCAAACTGCGAGGTTTTAACGATGGGAAATTTAAAGAACAAAACCTAAACGAAGAAAAAAAAAAGTGGTTCTTTGATGGAGAAAATTTGGAGAGTGAAGAAATGTAAATAAAATAATAAATGAAATTTAACGAAAAAGAGAAACCCCTAGAAAGGGAAGGGTTGAGAGAGACGCAAGTAATAAAAATGGGGTTTGACTGGAATGAGAGATTCTATTGACACGTGAGTCAGACTCAGACTTTAACTGCGAGTTTTCATCAAAGTGGCGCTTTCAACGCTGAGGTTATATTAACTTCACCGTCTGTTATACAAGTTCTTTGCACCGCCAATCTCGTTCCATTAAATTTCTTACATTATTTATTTTACTATAATAATCCTTAAATTATAGTAGTAATTATTAATTAATCAAGCAAGTTGGTTTTTTTATTATTATTACCTCTAATGTTATAATTAATTACTTAAAATGACAGGAAAACATTAAAAATATTAATGTTTCTCAATGTAATTGTGGTCTATCATTTCCTTTTTTATTGAACCACAAAATATCCTTAAAGTAAGTTTTAACTTGGAAGTTCATATTTGGCTTAGAATAAATTATGAATTAATATTCACCATTGGATATAATCTTAAACTTTGACGGAAAATAATTATATTTGTATATTCAATTATATATAATCAGATTATAACTTATACGATACATAAAATAATTTTATTTATTTAATGTGAATATATATACAAATTATTATTTTTAAATTATATTCAAAATTTTAAAACTCATAACATATATAAAATTTATATATATTGATTTTTCATTAAAAAATACATTTTCTAAAAATAACAAGAAAAAAATTATGTTTTTTCTTTGAATATTTTTGTTTACAATAATATTTATACATATTTAAGATTATATCAAATAAAAATAAATTATATATTTCTTGAAAAATAAAAAAATATATTATTGAACGATAAATTAAATAATAAAATACGCATTAACATACTTTCACTTTAGTAATTTTGACTAAATTATTATATAAAATATGAAAAATATTAAAAAAATATGTGAAAAAAGAAAAATAAATTAAAAATATTATTCTGTTCATAAGAATAAAACTATAATAAAAATAAAATATATCTTGAAAAATAGTTATAAGCAAAAAAAAAAAAAAATTACAATAGCAATAGAATATAACTTGAAAAAAAGTTACTAAAAGAATAAAAAAAAATTTGATGTATAACACATTACATTTATAGTCTTAAATTTGAAGAAAATTATTTAATGGCAATTAGGATAAAATAGATAATTTTTAAATTAATTTTTTAAAATTTAAAATAGATATAATAAGTGATAAAGATAATATTAATTTTTTTTTCATTTATTTGAAGTATAAATTTGATACTTAGAGTTTAAATAAATATAATCATTTTGATGATCTTATTATTTAAATATTTAAGATGAAAATTTTTGAATTTTCAAAATTTTCATAAAATTATTTGAATTTTTAATGTCTTGTGTAAATTTTTTAAATCAAAATAAAAAAGATTGTTAAAAGATTTGAATAAATTTAATCTTTATAATTTTTAAATATGTTCGAAAGATTTTGATAATTAAATAATTTTTAAATAAGGTTATTTGGTAAACAACTTAAATTATTTATTAAAAAAATAAAATTTATATTTCATATTTTTAATTTTAAAAAATATATATCTAAATTGATTTGATTTTCAATTATAATTTGAATAATTTTGATATTTGAATAAATTCAAAATTATCTAATTCATAATTAAAAAAATTATCTTATGTGTTATTTAAAAAATTTGTCTATATAAACATCCATGTGATAAACTTGTTTATATATATTGTTATAATATATATATATATATATTAGATTTATAAATTAATAAAATTTAATGTTTAGTTTAATTGATATTTATAGTTATTTTTAATATGTGATTCAATAATTTTAAAATTTTAAAATTATATTTTTTATTAAAAAACTTTAATATAAATTTTCTCTTTATTTTTATATTACATATTTTTTATATTAAAAAACATAATCTACTATAAATGCGTGTTTTTCTTTGCGTTTCTATTGCATTAAATTTAGAGAAAGGATTAATTTTAATTCTTAAACTAAATTAAGTTGTATTGACCTAAATTTGGATTGGTGTTTCGATTATGCCGTCTTGCTTAGAGTATCTGCCCTTTTATTACGTAAGAAATTAGTTGCCCAAATAAATAAAGCTTCAATGACGGAAGGAAACCCAATAGTTTCCTGCCACGTCATAATAAGATTTAGGCTGGGGGCCCCAACAAGATACTAAAGCTAAGTCACTGAATATGCCACGCAAGCACTTTCGGATCAGATGGATGCTCTCCATAGATGACACGTGTCATAGGCTTATATATCAGAGTGAACAGTTAGGGGTATATCGGTAATTGGATGCAAGAAACGAAAACCGTTCAATATTTTTTAACAACCACAGATTACGTTATGAATTTATCTAAAAAAGCGTTATTCTGTTTTCAAATTTTTTTCTTTTAACTTTCGGAATCTTTCAGAGTTCTCTTTTTGCTCTGCTTCAATCTCAGAAATATTCTTTGGAATTGTCCTTTTAAAAAAATTTATTTAATTTTAATGAAATTTACTCGATAGATTTCGAAGGAAGCCATATTTGAATAAGTCGGTGACTCGAAGCGGCCTCAGAGTTGAGTCTCAGAGTTGAGTCCGTAAGTTTTAATGATGCTTTGGAATGATTTGATTTATTGAATTTATTTTCGATTGATTAATTTGTATATTCCTTTAATTTAAGATTATTTTGTTATTTACTTAATTTATATCATTATAATTGCAGATTTTAGAACCTGAAATTTCGATTATTTCAAAAACCAGAACTTTTGTGATTATAATTTATTCCATTAATAAGCTTTTATTTTTATATTAAATTTAATCTTTTTTTTAGTAAAATTAATTTTCATTATACCAACAGAAGATTGGGAGGAAAAGGCTAGAACACAGCTCAGGCATACGGACACGAGGTTGACCGGCAAAGACCAGTAATCACCGAGCCGAACCCGGTGTTTAGGCGAATCAAATGACGGCGAGCGAAACGATTGGTGGCGATGAAGGGATGGCTTCATCGCCGAGAAGTAGGGTGAAGTTTCTATGCAGCTATGGCGGGAAAATATTGCCGAGGCCAGGCGACGCCAACCTCAAGTACGTTGGAGGAGAGACTCGTGTGGTGGCGGTCCCTCGGGATATCAAATTTACAGGTTTACCCTCGTTTCCTCCTTACTAAGCTTTATTACCAAAGGTTATGGCGTTTCAATAAGCTTTTTTTTTTTTAAGTGACATTGTCCCCATGCATGACAGAATTAATGAAGAAGCTAAACAGTATGGTTGACGGGGACATGATTTTGAGATACCAGGTTATCCCTGAGGAACTTGATGCCTTGGTAACTGTGAAATCCGATGAGGATCTGAAACACATGGTTGATGAGTACGATCGTCTTGAAGGTGAAGGGACTCCAAAACTACGTGCTTTCTTGTTTCCCTCGAGTCCAGTCGTGGTTGAGAACCAAATGAACCCTGTTGATCCTTATATAGAAGCCGTCAATGGCATAACTCGTCCAAGTTCAAATAATAGTAGTGGTAGGCTCACCCCTGTCAATGGAAACCGCCCCAACTTCAGCGTCTCTGCTTGCTCTTCCCCGGCTTCTCCTGATGATGGCAGAATTATGGATAATTCTTTGCATCTGGAGCCACCATTGTTGAATAATGGATACCGTCATAACAGACCCACCTTAGCTAAAGTCCAGAGTTCTCCTAGCCTTTACAGCCTTAGCACCCTCCATCCCCAAAGCAACAACAACAACCATAGCAATTGCCAAGTTTACCAGCCACATAATTTTTACCACCAAAATCACCAGCAGCTACAGCTTTACAGCGTTCAATTTCCAAAACCACCCCTAGAATTTCGGGCTGAGAAGCCACCAGGGCCACACGACTTTGGGAGGGGCCCTATGGGGCACGGTCATGTTCCAATAAACCATGTCTACTCCATAGGCAGACAAAATGTGGGGAATGGATACGGCAGGTGTGATTGCTGCTGCGATGAGTGCTTGGCTTATGCAAGTGGAGGGCTTATTAGGAGAAGTAGCCTTCCCACGAGTGGAAGGCTTGATAAGCCAGACAGTCCCGGGAACCGTATGTGGGAATAAAGCAATGGCATCGAAATCGAATACTATACTTTTCATCTGACTGAAGAAGTGAAAGATGGGTATATAATTTTTTTTTTCTTTTCTTTTGGTTGGATTGGTGAAATTTTTTCTTTACTGGTGTTGATTTTCCTTTTCCTTTTACCCTGACTTGATTTTTTTTTTTTTAATTTTTGTTAATGTACATTGCCATGTTGAATTATTAAACAACATTTATGGATATTATATTGCGAAGATGTTATGTAAACATATTTACAGAAATGACGAAGTTGAAGGAATGAGTTTCTATGTTCCATCTTTTTTTTTCTTTGTTAGGAGAAAAAGGTTTGTCCCAGAGTCTAAATGAAAAACTGTGCTGAAATTTGGAATTCCGAGGCATTTTAAAAAAAGTTTGTGCTTATTTTAATTGCTGTCCTGTGGTGGATAAGTTAATTTCCTTTTTTAACTGAGGTGAATTAGGTAGGCTTCTTCGACGTGGAAGCACAATGTTTAAAATCTCTGAAATATACAGAAACTGGGCAAATGATTATCTGGGTTCATTTATAATTATGGTCGGTGAATTAGGTATTCCGTTGTTAATTGTAGCTAATTATTACGTTCTTTTATAATTATACTTTGATGATAATCCAACGATAAATCATTGATAATTACTGATGAAAATATTTCATTGAAAAATTTTATCCGTGATATTTTAATTTTTAGTAATGCAATGTATACTTTTGGGGTGACAACTTTCTGACGGATTAGTAAGATTCTTTTACTTCTCTGTCGTTGGAGATAATTTTTAAGTGTTAACAATTCGTCGATTTGATTTAATTAATTTTTATTTAATAAATAATTAAATTGGTTAAAAATTTTTAAATAATTGATCACAATAAAATTGATCAAAATTAATTTAATTAAATAATTAAATTTTTTATTTTTTTATTATGAATAATTATTTAATCATAAATTTAATTTAATAAAATTTAAACTAAAATATCATTCAAATAAAATTATTAAAAGATTTAATAATTTTAACAATATTTTATAAAAAAATACTTATATCAATTTTTTTATCTTTTATTAAAAAATTAATTTTAAAAATAAAAAATTAATCAAATTAATTAATTTAATCAATTTAAAAAATTAATTATAATCAAAATCGAATAATCCAATCCAATTCAAATAAATTCACTTGATTGACCTAATCACTTCAGTCCAACTTTTACTCAATCCTAATAATTTCAGTCAGTCTAAGAGCCAGTAATACATGAAACATTGTACGATCTCTACTGAAGTAATCCACGGTATTTCAATGCTAATCTAGGCATTTGTTGCGAATTGCTTGTTCCCCATCCGGATATCTCGCTGGTAGAATCCTTCCAGCCAGTTGAATCGTTCAACTATCCCGTGCTTCTTCGAGATCCCAAGAGCACGTCCCCAGTAGCATTGGAATTTCCATCCGAATCAAGTGCGGTTCCAACATTGAATATCTTGATAGGAGGAGCGACATGCTCTGCTTCTTCAAGGTTCTGAATCACAGTACCTTTTCTCATATGTCACAAGGCAAACTTGGATTTTACTGTAAAATTATAAAGGTTAAAAGAAATTGACTGACGAACAAAGCTGAGTTGTAACATGAAGAGTTTTCAGCACAGGGTAAAATTACATACATTCTCACGATTTTAATCTCACTAAAACCTCCCACAAAGGGGATCACAAAAAAATATACATGGAAAGCTATAGTAGTAATTGTCTTCATAATGAACACAAAAACAGCTCCACCAGCAATCAAAGCCTCTCGGGTCTCCTCTTTCGTTCCAATGACTGTTTTCAAGCACCCTTTTTCTTACTGAACCATGACAGAAGACGGGGTAAGGGGTATTTTTTACACATTTTCGTACCAATCAAATGGCGTAGGATGGCTAGTTGAAGCAGAAGAAACTTGGAATAGTTGCTATATTTTTTACACATTTTCATACCAAGCGTATGGCGTGGGATGGCTAGTTGAAGCAGAAGAAACTTGGAATAGTTGCTAAGTGTGCAGGGCCATGAATAAATTCTGCTTACGTGCATGCTCTGGAATAAGTTTCTTGACAACTTCAGGCGGGACACCGGAGAGCTCTGTCAATTAAGGGGAAAAGGAGGAGCAAGAAAGTGAGATTTAGTCGGCATATTGCAAATATATCAAGAAATAGATTAATTGAACCAACAGTTAACAGATAACCTTATTAGAGCTTTTCTTGTGCTAATACTGATTAATTTCAAGATATTACATACACATATAGAGAAATGTGATTTCTCAGCAAAGTAAATGCAAAGATGTTTCTTGATGGCCTAATATGCTAAATGTATTTAAGTACCAAGTGTAACTGACCTTGAGGCTTAAAATTGAAGAGTGGTGGAAGCGGACGGCCATTGGGAAGGCGAGTGTTTGGGTCTCTCAATTCATCAAAGAAAGGATGAACGCAAGCCTCCAACTGCAGTAGTATTACCACCAGCAGATACAGACATTGAATCAAGGGGAAAAGTTGATTATTGAATGATATTTTTACCATTACTACTTGAGGCAGCAAAAGTAAAAATGCTGTAACTTACAGCTGTACATCGCAAATTGGGGGAGTATTGAAAAAACCTACAGACAAGGTCTACTGCTTCTGGAGATAAACGCTTTTGGAAGACCTGTTGCAAGAAAATGCATCATGAGCTCAATAGAAACCTCATGATAAATAATGAAAAATAAAAAAAGGTCTACTGCTTCCAGAGATAAATAATGAAAAAAAAAAAGAAAAAAAGAACACACATACTTTGTGCCATGGATGTGGCTTTATCTGGGGGAACTTGAATTCAGTGTAGTTCGGGTTCATGCACTTGATCTCCTCCCTGGTTGGAGTCCCCAAAACCTAAACATCAAATTTAAAATAAAGACACATCATTAATCGCATCCTTAGGGAAACTTTAAATGTATATGTTTCAAAACATTCTAGTCAAAAACAGCCGAGACAAGGCCATGCATAAGGCACCAAACAAATTGTTTTGATGCAGCGTTGCAGACTGTATCCAGCAGTACGTAACATAAATCCTAAAACTTTTTGGTTCAATTTTTCAGAGTATTCATCAAAAGGAAGAATTGAGTAGAAACTCATTTGTAACTTCTATCAGAAAATGTCAACTTATCTACAAAGTTCATGCATCCCAAGAGTATGTTTAATTTCATTTTTAACATAACTGAGTTTAAGCAAAAGTAAGCCTAATACTTATCAAAATCTATGGTTTATTGTTGAGATATGATAAACTTCAACTTATTTTTCCAATTCTAACGAATGCTAAAACTTATCAAATAGATTAATCATGCATTAAAAGCAAGTACTCAAAAAAAAATATGAGAACTGATAGATGAAATCACCTTAATGATTTCAACTAGTTGGTCGACCCCACTTTCACCAGGAAACAGTGGCTGCATGGTATATTAGTGAGTTAGAAACAACAATCAATGAAGACAAAAGTAACTTATAATAGTATCTAATTAAACAAATTAGTCTAAAATTACCTGTCCAAGAAGCAATTCAGCCATCACACAACCAGTAGACCATATATCTATAGCAGTTGTGTATTCAGTAGCACCAAATATGAGTTCTGGAGCACGATAATATCTTGAGCAGATGTAAGAAACATTGGGTTCTCCCTTCACCTGAAAACATGAAAGCACCCACACTCAGGTGATGAAACAAGATCAGGCCACAACAACTATTGCATGAAAACTTACCAGCACTTTTGCACTTCCAAAATCACAAAGTTTCAGCTGATGTGTATGAGGATTCACCTGGACATGAACCATAGCAGTTGAGTTTCACCATAAAGAGAAGGACAATGTGGCTCAAAATATTAAGTTCTTTAACCAGATTAACAATTTTTTCTCATATAAAGAAAACAAAAAACACGGTATACTAATAAATCCTCAAGCTACCTAATTTGTATCAGTGTAGCTCCACATAACTACCATACATCTTTTGCAATAATAAAAATAACCAGTAAATCACAGGTTTTTGTCACTCCAATCAAGAGAATTGATGAGTTAGAATAACAAACAATATACTTACATGCAAGGTGTACACTATTACATGAAAAACATGTCTTCTGTAACAAACACTTGATTCCCGAGAAAAAGAGTCTTACAAGTAAGTTCTGAGGTTTGATGTCACGGTGACATATATCAATGCAGTTATGTATATAGGCAAGTGCTCTGCAAATCTGCAATCCAAAAGCAGAAGACAATTAGCTACAACTTTTTCCATTCAATTAAAATCTCTTAGTGTTTAAACTAAACTGAAGAAAGGGAAAAAGAAAAGCAATTTTATCTCTAGTGAATTGGAAATATTTGACCAATCTTATGTGAACGCAATAGTTTAAATTTAAAATTGAATATACTATACAAGATAGCAATACCAAAAGGTAAGACAATAAATCATTTCTGAAACAACTCTAGACTACTCAATTAGCCAGTAAAAGGTAATTGAAAAAGTAATATATTCCAACTCCATGAATCCATATATCAACACTAACATATAAGGATATGCTTTCATAAAATGGAGATGCACCTGATAGGTATAGAGTTTAACATATATTAAAGGCATTCGTGTGTTGATCCTGCTGTAGCTTCTTGCTATGCGGTTAACAGTTTCAGGGACATAGTCAAGAACAAGATTGAGGTAGAGCTCTTCCTTGTCAGTTTTTGAGAAAAAATAATGCTTAAGGGAAACAATATTTGGATGGTCCAGCATTTGCATAATCTGCAACTCCCTGTTCTTGTAGCGCTTGTCTTGAAGAACCTTCTTGATGGCAACGATTTCCCCAGTTTCACGACATTTTGCCTGCAGCAAACAGTCAACTTGTTTCTAGATTATAAACTACTTGAAAAAAGTCAAGAACATATTCGTGAACAAGAAATATTATAGAACTACATACTTGGAAAACAACACCGAAAGAACCAGTTCCAACCACATGCTCAGCAATATAACTGACATTCTGTTGATCCAAACAAAAATAGATATATGTTGAGAATGATGCAGGTCAATAAAAACACCAACTCATTTGAATCTCACATGGAAAATTTGCAGCTAATTTGTTTATCTTTCAACCTGCTTTGATTGACCATTTCGGCCACCGATGGTCGTTCTTATCACATGCCCTGTTTCAGCACCCACTCCATCAACTACATCTGGTTCACTATCCTGCATGGGTAAAACATAAAGGATCACCTACAAGTAGAGAAACATTTTGCGAAGATTGTGAAACTCTGTTTAAGATTTCAGCAGTCAAACTACTACAGTTGCAATTAGAATGAGCGTTGTTGCAAAACCACCTCAAAAGAAATTTTCAAAAGTTCAATCCCACCCCCAAAAAAAATATACATTGAGCTGCTTACTCTGTCTTGATCATGGTCCACCTTGTCCCTCAATCTCATTTCAAGTATTTCTCTCCCCAGCCAATCAACAGAACTAGACGAACTTTTGAAACCATTGACAGACCTGGAACTACCTACTCCTCCATTTCCTAGGCTTGCAGATGCCATAATTCAGCCAGTAAACGTTATAGACACTAGTATTTCTTTCCGCGAAATACTCAGGAGTACAGCTTCGCATCCCGTCCCAGCACGTATGTTTCTAGTAGATTCCCAAAATTACCAAGTCAGAAACATTAAAAAAATGAATATAGAATGATTAATATCATAGATTCCATGTAAAAATAAGATCTATGACAGACTGCCAAGATAAAAGATCTGAACAATGAAAAAAATGCATCTAGAAAATAGTTGCTTAGACCACTACATCACAAGAATAAACTCCTGAAATAAAAATATCGATATGCTTCTAGGAGACGTGAAGTATTTACGCATTCAAGTAAACAACAATGAGACTGATAAAATGGGATATCGAAAACATATGGGGATCAAAAGTTAAGAATTACTTCTTTGTGTATCATAAACAAATATACTTTTTTGGAAAGCGGAGGTCAAAAAATGCAATGTAAAAAGGAAGAAAGAGATTTTCAGTTAAGAAACAAACTGTTAAGACAAATAAACCAGGGCTTAACTACAAAGCTTCAGCTACATAAATTCGTTTCCTTGGAACAGATAAGACTAATGTCATATTCTCTGAAACATGCCCCAGATTCAATGTTTGTTCAATCTTCAGTCAATTACTTTCCCTTTATAAATGACCCTTCTTTCTATAAGATTAAAGCTTCTTTCTTTGTAATTAGTTTCCATTAAAAGTTGGGTTTTTTTTTTTTTTTTAATCTTTGCTAACATTATCAGTATGATCTACTAATAATGTTAAAGAAATAATGAGGATAAAATGGAACTAAAATTAACTAAAAGAAAGGAAATTTGATCAGATCTAACCCTAATTTAACCAATCAAAACACCAGAAACCACACTAATTCCCACTCTAAGTGATGAATTAGAAAAAGAAATCCTAAAAGACAAACCCTTTTATAAAAATAGCAGCAATTTTTTGTTGATAATTAAACCAAAACTATTGTCTTTCACTTAAAAAAGAAAGAAAAACAGATGGTGAAAACGATCTTAGCGTTTCGGATACTTACTCGGAAGCGTTGGGAACGAAACTCAAAACAGATCAAGCGCATTTTTTTCTTTTAATCTTTGCCTTTCGATTAGGAAATTCAAAACAGTGCCTTTAATCTGATCAACTTTTCTATTTTCTCAATTTCCGATTTTTTTTTTTTTTTTGAATGGATATGGACACGCAAAGAGAGATGGAGAGAGAAGGAAAGTCTTGGAGCCTATGGATGTTTTTGGAGTAAGAACTCACAATCACTGACAATCTTCATTTACTTGTTATTATTATTATTATCAAAACCACTGCATAATAAATTTAATAATTTATATATTATAGCTATATAAATTTTTATATTATTATTTGTGTTTACATGTATAATATAAAATTTTTTTTTTGTTTTTTAAAATTTATATATAATTTAGATTAGAATTTTAAATTATTATTTTAGTTTTTAATTGTTTTTTAAAACTTACTGTTTTGATTTATGAATGGTTTTGAAAGAAATTAAAGAATTAATGCTAAAAGTAATTGATAGAATCGATTGGTTTCGTAAATGATTTGATTAGAGCATATGTGTTGTTCAAAAGTTGAACTACTTTTGACTTTTTTGGACCTTAATTTTACTTTTTACTGTTTAAAATGTTTATCACCCAATAATCAAAAGGTGAATGTGCAATTTTGGTTGTCAAATTGGAGGAGCTGATTAATTTATACTACTAATAATTATGAGATTTAGACCAACAAATCCCATGATGGTATGAGTTCAAATTATAATTTGATCTTGTTCATGGAACAAGATAAGTATGAGTTCATTCATGCATCTTCAAATTTTTTTTAGTCAAAATTCATAGCATATATTGGGGGAATGTATAATAGTATTAAAGCAAAAACTATATTTACTTTTTTTTTTTAATGAAAGTTTTACAGATATTTATCTACAAGGATTAACATGGTTGGTAAAGAAAATCATTTGGGTCATTTTGTCTTTGAAGAATTGATGGTTTTATATCATGAACAAAACACTTTGTTTGTCACTCTTTATATCTATGATCATACAATCTTCTTTCCTTGTAGAGGACAATTGGCAAGCAAGGGGTTGAGAATTCCATGCAATTCTTGCAGAAAATTACATGAAATCTTGACCCTCAAATATATATATATATATATATATATGTATTATATGCATGATGCTGAGGAGGTCATGGACGTCAATTTCATTTGTGATTGCCAATTGCATGGAAGTCAATTTCCTTATTCCGAAAGCTAAGGATCTGTTCTTTCAGTTCTCTCATGGAAGATATGATATGAAGCCGGTCCTCAAAGCTCTGAAACATGGATATGCCCGATCACAAATTAATGGCAAATTCTATATCACAAAGAACAGAAAGAAACATTTAAGATCTAGACTGAATTGATAATGGTATTCTGATTGATAGTCAAAGGCCTTCATTGACATTCATGAGTGGAGTATATAGGTGTAGCTTGATTAAGTTGATATAATTTATTCGATTGTAAAGCAAATTTATGAGAATAATTACAAAAAACCATGGAAGTGGAAGCCATATGATGATAGCTGCTTTGTCAATCTTTCTATGCATGCTTCCAAGTGGAAAAAGTAAAAGGGGAGGAGCCAAGAACTAGCAAGTGTGTTTTGTCATGAGTAGGGGACACACTATTCATAGTGCCTATATGAAAGTAACAGTAGTGGTCCACTACATTGTAGAAAAAAGTTTGAAGAAATCTGTCCATGCTAAAACAAGCCATTGGAGCAGGCGTACATACAATGCCAAGAAAATGTCAATCACCCATTTCAACCTCCACCATATATATGCAGTCAATTTTTGCATGCTCAAAGCAACATGATCAAACCACTCATGTTCTTTGGACCCAGTGCAAACCAGTTCTCCATCAAAATGAGTGAAAAGCCTCAAAATTGGTTGTATATTTTAACACTGCATTTGGGTAGGTGATCAGAGATTCAAATATCAAGAAACATAAGATTTAAGGTTTTGATTTTGCCTGTAAATTACAGAAAAAAAAAGTGGGTTCCTTTCCATACTGCTTCAAATTATATATTTGGAACATTCAACCTAAGTACCCCAAAGCTACAGTTTTGAAGCTAAATCATGTGTAAAGGTACAGCAGAATATATTAATGATTAGGGTGAAAGGGCGGAATTTGAGTTATCCAATGGTAAAAGAATTCATATGAAAACAAAATCGAACTCATCACTGCATTCAAATTCCAATGGCATCAAGAAGCTGAGAGTGTTGAGGAACTGAAACTAACGAATTTGCAACAATAGCACCACTAGCAGCGACTGCAGGGACTCCAATGCCAGGAAAAGTAGAATCCCCACAACAATAAAGTTGTGGAATGGGTGTTGAATGTCCTGGAAAAGAGTCTTGACCGGCTTGTATAGCTGGTCCATAAGTTCCTCTATTCCTTCGTAAAAACCTTTGATGTGTCAACGGAGTTCCTACCAATTTCACCTCACACTTCTCACGGCTGAAACCTGAACCAAGTGCACGTTCAACAGCTCTCCACATTACCTGGTTTATGAAGCAATTAATTAACTTGAGAAATGTCTCACTTGAGAGAAGTAAGAAAGATTATACCGAGGAGTTTAATCGTGTTAAAGACTCATTCGTCCCGACAAGGAGAAACTAAGGAACAGGTAAAAATTTTGTATGCCTCCAATAAGATAAAGCTCAACATTGATTCTGGTGTAACAGTTTAGTAGAGTGAATTAACAGAGGAGCCGGAAATACAGACCAATGGGGGTGATAAAATGTCTGATTAATGACTTTATTCTTGAAGGAAGAGAGTGGAATTAATAGAAACATGACCAGCAGTGGGAAATGAATATGAAAATGATAAAGAGAAAAGTGGTTTTGCAAATTTTATGACTTTTTTCATGAAAGAAGTCTAACTGATAAGCTTACTTGTCCCGATTGGTGGGGTAATAATATTAATATATAAGTAATAACCACCATGTTGTTTTTGCTTTTAACAAAAAAAAAAAAGATTTTCACTTATTTAGAGTTTTCAAGCTGTTGTTTAGACATAAAAAGAAGCAATAAATAATCTAATAAAACTACCAAGCACATATAAGTACCTCTGATCGTTCAGCTTTAAGCATTTTGTACTCTGCACTTCTACGATCAAGTCCATCCCACAACTCAAATGGTTCAGTTCCTGGTGTATAAGCATGCAAAACATGCTTCCCTGGTGGTGCAAGATTCGGACTAAGTACACTAGGTACAGAAATTAAAACAACATTCTGATCAGCATCAACTCCTCTATCCCAGTCATTAACAACAATATGATGAATTCCCAAATCCTTGCGTAGACCCTGGACATTATGATGCTTGAAAAGAGGTTAATGAGATATATGGAGATAGAACACACAAAGAGACCGAAAATTCAAATCCTAGTTACAGAAATTGGGAGAAATTATTCTGTAAAACTTTTCTACATATCAGTTTATTATGTAGATATAAGTGATAAAGGATTCAATATGTACATAGAATAGTTTGTTTTATATTCATCAAAAGTGTCACATTTACTCATTTTCAGAGTATTAACTATTTAGTGCACCTAAAGTTAAAAACAGCATTTTGCCATCTGACACCTAGTACTTGCATAGTCATCGTGCAGAGTTGATTTGTGCACAAATGAGTTAGGAATATAAGTTTGAAAAACACAGTTTTGGGATTAACAAACATCTATAAACGTTTGACCAATTAAACAACTAAGTTGCCAGCTACTAATATTTTCTCACCTCTGCATCAAAACCTAGATGGAGATGCATGAATGATTCGCATTGTGGTGTTGTCTTAATCTTATCCATGTATGACTTTGGAAGTTGTTCCTTAGGTAGAAGGTTTAAAGTGTCCCACATGGATGCATTGCTGACAATAGCCTTTTTGGCACGTATAAACTGCAGCATAAACAATATTTTTTTCAGTCAATAGCATCTCAAGTAGAGAAAATTTTTTTAAGTAAATTTAAAGTTTAGTTTCCTCTAACATTCGAATTATATTCACCTGACCACCTTTCAGCTTAACTCCAGTGGCTTTACCGTTCTCGACAATGATCATTTCCACATGACTTCCTAGAGATAGACGTCCTCCAAACTTTTGTATTCCTTGAACAAGAGTATCAACAATAGCCCCACTTCCATGAAGCGGATACTCCAGAGTACACCCAGGCTTGTACCATTCTGCAAACATATAAATCTAAAAAAATGGAAGTAAACACAACAAATCAGATTTAATAGTACTGTATATATATTGATAGCATTTCACCCAAAATATAAAAATGAAAAAGAAACACTTTCTTTTCATTATAGCAGATTTGCAACCGCATCATACAAATGTGTTGCCCATGCGACTGGTTGCATGCTAAAGCAGACAACTTGAAATCTTTAGAAAGGCAAGTTAAAATCATGAATATCCTTATAATTACCATCTCTGCTGAAAGAATACCATTGGATTTCACCCCTGCAAGCAGGAAAGCCAGAAGGTCCACCCAATTCCTGATAAAAGGGTCCTTCAGCTCCAATGAGTCCATGATTTCCGAGAAGGGTCGTAAAAGCTTAGGAGCAGCAAAAGCTCCCTGAGGTCCCATTTCAACAAATGATTTCAACAGAGAAGGGGCATATCTAGTAGCAGCGGTAGAAAGAACGCCCAAATCTCCTCTGATTGATAAAGGAGGCAGAGCCATTGCGGCAGCAGATAATGGAAGTATCGCATCCTGCAGCCAAATTGCATTCTGAATTTGAGAAAGACTTGCTAAGGTTAAAAAGAAAGGAAAAAAAGGGGCGGGGGGCAAAAACTAGAGGCTTGGTTGTCAGCTCCTGAAAGAAAAATCTAGAGAAACATCAATTCATCTTCCTACATTTAACTCAAACATTGACAATTATGAGTAAAATTATTGGTACTCACAAGAAGTTTTTTCCACTCTTGCACAGCATTCTGACTTGCATACTTTTCAAGGTCCTGACAATAATAAAAAGTTATTCAGCATAATGCCCCTCGAACTTAGAGCACAAAGTTCTTTAATAGGATAACCTCATTGCATAACCCTTTTGTTACCTTCCTTTGCTTCCCGAAAGAATGTATCAATAAACAATGCCATATTTTCAAAGTAAACTTATACGATGATCATACACATATAGCAAGATAATTCTGGTCCCAAGTGATAACATCACATAGAAAAACATTCCACTGACGGAAGTTTCCAGCTTACTCAAATAAGCAAGGATTCTTGAATATTTAAATCTAGTAATCTTGTTACTCATGTTGGATACGAACATCCAGACATATTTTAGAATTCTTGCATGTTTATCTATTCATGTACTTTTGCACTTGTTTGACACCCATATTTATTATGTCAAATGCAAATTCCATATTTCTGTGACTCATGCTAAAATTTGGTGCTTATAGCTGTAAGCCAACTAAAGGTCAGATTCGCAATGAATATTTAATAACTTTTAGTCATTTTACCAGTGTTCCAACTTCTGTATCTGGCAATTGGTGTTTCAAGGTTCAAAACAGTGAAGAAGAAGCTGATGAGATCTTATTGAATCAGGCATTGCAATATTTTTGTCTCTTCTCCTCCAGTATAAGTCATTGCATAACAGGAAAAATCTACATAACCAGATCATTTGGATGCCTTCTAGTCTTAAAAAGTGCATGTAGAGCAGAGAAACGAATATGAAACCAGAGAAATATCAAAATACATAATAAAATATGAAAAGGCTTAAATTTTAACAAATCTAATTAACAAATGGCAGCCCACCTTGAAAAATTCAGTTGGACCTATGTGTGATAAGAATTCACCTTCAGGAATGTATACCATCCAAGAGTCATATTTTGCACATGGAATTGACTCACCCAACGCATCCAGGACCTGCAACTCAAAGATATATAATCAAAATTAAGAGTGGATGTCCACAAACTACATCAATCAGAGACATCAGAGTATTAAATGTATCTAAGATTACATTATCTATACTTGTTTACCACGTAAATCTCAGAAATTCCCTAAAGCTATCCAAGCTAGCTGCTGCTTTTGACACATTCATGTTCCAAATTACCACAACTGACAAAGACCACCGCCTCAATCAAAATGATTGTTCATGGACCCAAAAGTTAAAAGCAACCTTAAAATTTTAAACAACAACAAGACTAGGAGATCAGTTCCTTCTTCGCTGCCTTTATGAATCATATGGAAACTATACATCTAACACTACAGACAATCTAAAAAGCACGAAGTAGAAAAACGTTGAAAATAGAAAGAATGTGGTAACAAACACCTGTGCAAGAGGATTCGCCTGAGGACCCCTTGACTCAAAGCCAGAGAATAAAGATGGACCAGAATCAAATTTGTAGCCTTTAATATCAAAAGAATGGGCAGCACCACCAGGCAGATCATGACTTTCCAACACAAGAACATCCTGGTTGTATCTAGCAAGAAGTCCAGCACAACAAAGGCCACCAATACCACTCCCAATCACAACAACATCAGCCTCTGGCTTCCCTGCAAATCATCAAGCAAAGCTCGGTGCCACGAAGTTGTTTTTGCTTCCATAAAAAAATGAAAACTCAGAGTAGCTTACCAATCGCAACGACTTGTATAACAAAAATGATTGAATGCATAGAAGAGTTTTCCTTTGGTAGATAAGAAAAGAAAATGAAAATGGGTACATAATGCAAGCGTGCATGTGAAAGCTAGAGAGAGAGAAAGATAGAGAGAGAGTTAACCTGGGACAGCTTTAGCAGGCTTGACAGAGAGGGAGCCATTGGAGGAAGAAAACTCAGGACCGTTGTTGGAACTTCGCGCCAAAACAGTTTTTCTTGACGTTAGGTATTTGAAACATGGGAACAGAGGACGGCCAAATTGAAGAGCCAATTCCATTGAAAGTAGTAAACAGGAAACAAATGCTCAAAGAAGCGATCTAAACAGTTTACTGAGAGATAATCCAACGAACAAAGCATTCATGATAGCTCCTTGTTTCTGCTAAAGAAACAAGCCACGTCATTCCCAGTTCCAACCCCATATGCTTGGATACTGTTTTTCCCGTTATCTTCCAAAGTCAAAAACTGACAAAATGCTTTTCCTTTCGGATACCTTTCCTGGGTCTTGACTGTTTTTGGGCCGGTCTAAGTATAGCTACCTTACAAAGCCTAAAATCAAAACCAAAAGCTTCCCAGCTATGTCTGATACTTACTCTTTCGAGTGATTTCACTTTGAAAAGAAAATGTTCCATACTAATGGATTCGAGTTAACAAACGTGGGTTCCAACATACGAGATCTTGTGTTATTTACCAATGAGACCTTATCGATTAGTAATTCACAAAAAAAATAAATAATTCTAGACACTGATACAATTAAATTCTTCATAGATGGGTTCACGATCATGAGATCCTTTCTTCTCAGATGGGAAGGACTGTTGTATAAAATGTACTTCTAAATAATTACCCCATGGATCCTATATCTATTTGTATAAAAAAGAAATAATGTTACGAAAGAAATTCTTATTTGTACAAACAGTATTTCGAGCTTAATACGAGAATGATAAAATTAACTATATTTCCTCCTCAACCCTAATACATATTATTGAGAATATTTATTAAAGAATAAATCATATCAAAATGTTGAAAAAATTCTTGCTAGGCGATCATACGGCATCAAATTTGAAAGCAACAAATTTGGTTCACTTTTAAGACGCAACCAAAACAAAATCCACATCGGTTCCACTCGCATTTAATTTACTGTTCCCCAAATCACGCTAATGGCTATCAGAAAGTGTATCAGCCAAGATTTAAAACAACCAGCTTTCCTTCTCGTCTGCACAAACTCATTTATAAAGCCCTCAAGTATAGGGGGCTTATAGACAAATCTAACTAGAGTCTCGACATAAGGTGAACTGCTCATCAAGACACGTGTAATAACTCAGTAAAGCAGACAGTATGCAGAGCTCTGCATTTACATTTACAGTTCCAGCTAAAGGAGGTAATCGACCAATAAAATCAGAATATCCCGGTATCCGGCCGAGTCAATAGCAAGAATCGGAGGATATTTAGAGCACCTCAGCTGGACAAAATCCGCTAGGGCCTGCAGCGGTGAAAAAGAGTTGTGCTGTGTGATTACAATGATGATAACCTTTTTTTTCTTGTTCCTATATTCTCAGCCATCTTTGAATAAGATCGAGGTCTCTTCAATCCACCAAGTATTAACGACGGGATTTCTTCAACCAAGTATTAATTACAATGATATCTGCAACCTCTAGATCAATTGAACCTTTCCCTACTTTGCTGCTGAAACATTGATTACACCTGATCACGGGTTAAGCAAAACAAGACAGCCTCCAGCAAAAGCAACTGAATGCTCGGAATTCAAGTGACTAAGCAATTTGCTGCAAAATAATGGAAGAGAATGAATATAACACCTTGACAAATGCCATGAAAGAAAAACTTTTGACTTTGATCGACTCAAACAGGAAATTACGGACCATGCAGTGAGTTAGAGGCTCTTTCCAACACCTCTACAATGGAATTATCTTTCATGTGACAAAATGGAATGTAAAACGTAACACTCCTCAAGGAAACTTGGGATGAGAGATCAGTTAATATTGGAAAATTTGAACTAATTATGAAGGTAACAATCCAATCTGACAAACCAAGAGAAAGAAATTCTACTCGGATGAATAAATTCATGCAGATTTTATGCTCTTGAATGAGATCTATGATCAATGTTAAATTCATAATATTAGGGATAATGCACATCCCTTCATCACCATTAGGCCCATTATCAGCAATACGGCCATCATGAACTCTATCAATAAGTCCTCACACTTTTGCTACCCCCAAATACAACTTATCTTGCCATCAACCATCACCACTAAAAACACAATCAGGCCCACTGCTGCTACCATCAATGATAGTTTAGCTTGCTACTGCAACCTCCTAACACCACCACAAATGCATATACAATACCATGATTACAACCTACCTATCATTACTATAGGCACTACCTTCAGATTTTATAAAGTAGACAAGGCCCTTTAGCTTTTCAAGGCACACTTTTCCATCTGTTTCTTTCATACCTTTTCCATAATTTGTTAAACTTCCATCAACATTCTTAAGAAGTTGTGCTTTGAAAAAAAATTATAATAATAACCAGAAGCTAATAATAAAGAAATACTTGTGGTAGCAATAGACCAAGTTCAAACAAGTTAGCAACAGATGTAACAGAGATTCTCAATCTTAAGACGACTTTGCAACCACCCAATTAATAAGGTGAATACCCAAGGCATTCCCTGACAAAAGGTTTAGACCTTCAACTGCTCAAAGAAGCACAGATTGACTACTGATCTAATTGGCCATTTTTCCTTGAATTTCTAACACAGTTACTCTAAAAGGCTGAACTCATTCTAACAACGTACTTTCTTTCCATGAACAAGTAATTCACAATATTCTCTAAACTACTATACAACTTTTAAGCTGGGTAAAGCATTGGCCAACAATTTCTGATCACAATAAATAAATGAATACTGATAAATTAAAAGTTCAAAAAAAATCAAATGCTTACCATTTTAAAAATTCACTAAGAACCAGAACTTGATTTTTGTACCCAAACTTGTTTCTGCAAATTCAGAGAACAAACATTAATACTTGGTTAGTAATAATGCAGCAGAAGACAACCAATCAGATATTCAAACATAGTTATAAGCACCTCATGAGAACCATAGCCAGAAGTATTGCCTCTTTTCCCTGGTTTCCCATCACTCACAACAGATGATACATCAGCAACTGCTCCACGACGACTAATATGTTTATGGGATCCTGCATAAATTTAAAAAGAAAAAAAAATTAATGAAATGCGAAACTTGAAAACAAATACATGACAGACACAGAGTTTGTTCAGCTTCCAAAATAAAAACTAACCATCATCTAAAGAACTATTACGTCCACTTGTGACAGTTTTAACTTGGATACTCCGAACATTTGACAAATCAACTTTAGTATCACCATAAGCCCCTGCCAATGGTATATGGGAAAAGAAACATCAAAAGCTATTCTCCTTAAAGGAAAATTCTGTTTTCCGCAATTCTGGCTTGCTGCTACTCACCGAGCACATAATGCAACATATGCAAGCATGCAATTTAATGTGTCATGATGGCAATAAACTCCATTTTGTGGAGAATTCCTGGGACAATGATTTTCCCAAGGAACAACACTACCAGTTATTTAACATACCAATGCCTTCTGAAGAATCTAAAGGCATCCGTGAGGACAGAGAAGCAGATGATGACAAGAACTCATCACTTGCATATGATCCATCGGAACGGCGAAGGGTCCACACACCGCGATCTGGTCTATCTTTGTTTCTACTACGTCTTTCTGGCTTCTCACTGCCATGCAACTCATTCCCAACAACCTTATCATCTGAAGCACTGTTTGTATCTTTCAAAACTAACTGCGCATGTGAATGCTGAGCAGGTCGTCTGTCTTTTTCCAAATTTGAGGTCAGAATCTGCAGATCTGACTGGACTCCAGATGACTGGCTTTGAAGAGAATCCTTGTTTATAAGTATGCCTCTGATCATTCGGCCTTCACGTCGAGAGTTATGTTTGGTAGTAGTTGAACCAAGTATGTTTTTAATTGGAGATACAACATTCTGTTGACATAACATGCTTCCAGCCACCTGCGCAAAGAATTATGATCATAATGAATGTAAAATCACACAACATGGCAATTAGAGAGAATTATAACTCCTGCTTGCATGGATTGATGATAGTGGGGGCAATGCAATATGGCACATTATGTCGCATATCTAAACCATGCGAAAACAACATTGTGTCTATTAGCAACAAGATCGAGTATAGAATGGGAGGAGCCCTGCCCTTTCTCCCACAAGTTAAACCCCCTTCTTCTAAAATTCTCTCTTCCATTCTCCGAGTATGCACACATGCACCCTATGCATTTACTTCAAGCCTCCATCAGGGGGAAAAAAAAAAGGAAGAGTAAGAAAGAAAGAAGAATGAAAACATAAACCAAGACTGAATGGTAGAGCCACAAGAACATGAGAAAAGAGAAACAAGGGCCTCACGTGAGAAATTTCTTTCTCTTTCCCTTTCAGAAGCAGAACTTTCTTTTTACCAGCATCAATAAGTCCAGAAACTCCTGGAAAAGTGAGAATGAGAATTTTAAATTGGAGACATGAAACATGAGAATGCAACCACAAAACAAAAAATTCTTTGACTGGTTTAGATGCCGACTAGCACATAACAAGAAAAATTAAAGAATAGTAGCTCATTTACCAAAGGAAGGAAAAATTATAATGATTTATATTAGGCATTTATACATATCACCCATACCACTTTCCTCTTCAGATATTTCAGTCGCCACAGATGAAGCTAAAGTAACAGGCTTATTAGAAAGTTGTCGATCATCCCTCTTGGAAACAAGAATGTAAGTTGACTTATCTTTGCCACTTGCATTTTTCAAGTTATCCCTTAGAACATACTGCAACCATACAAGACAATGTATTAATGATAGGGAGACTTCCAATATCTCACCAAGAAATCCATCATGGATATAAATGTGGTCAACTAGATTTGATATTAAAAAAGAAAAAGAAACAAAAGCAAAAGCAAATAGATCAGTAAAATACCCAGTTTTATATGTCATCATTTTTAGTACATATACAAAGAAAACTTATTCCCAAAACTTTTACAATTGTAGCACAATGTGCTCAAATATGTTAATGAACGACAACTGTTCATAATCCTACTTCAAGAACTAAGCATGCAATGACAATTTCACACATTAGTGTTTTATTGGCCATAAAATTACAACCCCATTACCATATGAGAGAGAAAGAGAAAGAAAGAAACATGTAAACTCAAGAAACAACAGATAGTTTTGTTTAAATTAACCAAATATATGCATACCATTGTAGTAGAACCCCTTCTCTTTTCAGAACCTCTTTTGGATGGTACTGAACTTGGACTTCCACCAGATGACCCACCAGCTCTTCTGCTCAATTTCCCATTAGACAATGACCTCTGCCATAAAATATTATTAGAATCCTTAAGTTGTATATGATGAACCATTGGCACAAGTAGTTCACAGAAAAGAACTGAAAGAAAACCAGAAACAAACTTAATGCATAAATAAAATAAAACTAGGAAAGGAAAAGTTGAAAACACAAATCTTACTTCAGTCCATATATCAAAATGTCAGAAGGTAATAGGGGAAAACTTCTGAATCCTAAAAAATATTTTATCATTCTTCAGCAGTTCAATTCTCATTGGTAATGATGTCATTGATTAATTTTAACATAGTATTTACACTATCAATATCTTTTTTATAGTCAAAATACAAAGAAACACCTATTTGACTCTAAAGATTGATAAGAAAACGCACCATATGATAGCAAAGAAAACACCGCTCATGATTTTACTGTCAACTATACCGTTATTGAGATTACAATATATTACCCGTGGTCTGCCCTTAGCAGCTCTTTTCTGTCTAACAAAATCCATTAAAGGTGTAACTATGGGAGCACCCTTTGGTACACCTGAAAAGGGCATTAATGGCATGACAGCAAAATATCAATGCATAGAGAAAGCTGATATTTTATCATTTGGAATACTAAAGTTCCTTCCCTTTTTTTTAATTTTCCAAAACAACAACTTGAAAGTGCATATGTGTATAAGATTTGAGCAACTAACCAGCTCTTTCTGCCTCCCTTCTTTCTAATTGTATCTCTGCACTAGGAAGATTCTCAACTGGCTTCGCAAGAAATTCAAGGAACTCCAAATACTCAGGATCTACATGTTCATCAAGAAATACTTGAATTTATGGACAGGAAAGTAGTGGGATGGATAAGTTAACATGAAATCCATTCTTTTGAATAATATTTAAAGAAAATCAGCTTATTACCTTTGAATATAGTCCCTTCACGACCATCCTTTTTAGACCACTGCTTTGGAACACGTTGGGAAGGTGCATACTCAACAACAGTTTTAAACTGAGCCCCTGAAAAAGAGAAGCAATTCTTTTACTTTGAAATCCATGTCTAGCATCAGCTTATAGCAAGCTACTAATTTTAAAAGAGGTTCATAAAAACAGATCAATTAAAAAAATGAGAGATCCTACATAAGCTTGTCAAAAATACTAGATCTTGACTCCGTCAAAAATCCCTTTTTTCTATTTTGGCAATCAAGGTGCTCTAACATCTCCAAACAACTCATAGATTTCCAAGCTGTTAGTTAAAAGAGAGAATCAGATTCATTATCCTATTAGAGAGGACAAAATTTTATCCAGTTGCAATGAATAACTAATAAAAGTATTGATGATAAGAGAGGTATGCTATGCTACATCAATCTCTTTGAAGTTCAATAATTACCCTTCTCGTTAACAAATACATGACCATTTAAGAACTCAGCAAACTCCAAAACGTCCTGAGGCCTCTTGAAGTCTATGTACGCTCTGGAATAAGACTGATGCTTCTGACTGCAAAATCATTTTGAAAAGTAAAACTATAATAAGATAAAATCTTTAGCTGTATGCTAACCATGGAATTGTGGTTAAGTAAAATTAAAGAAAAACTACACTAGTAACATATGCAAGATCAACTGGATCATACAGTATTCATATTTGACCCAAAGAATCTAGACTTGGCAAAATCTCCTTCCATGCCAATAAATTTACTTTATATAGGATGCAGACTCCTACTAGAGGAGAAGAACTTGTACGAGGACAGGAGGAAAGCTCTTACAGAGGACGCTGAAACTGAGTCTTTAATTAAGCAAAAGGAAGGCCAAATATGAAGCAAAACCAAGCATGTCCATTTACAAGGGACCAACAATAAATCCCAAAATAACATATCCCAAATAAGAAACCCAATATATAATTATATGTATATACCCATTCACAAACAACGATTATTAGTGCTAAAAACAGTAATAATATAGGAAATGCAAAAAAAAAAAAAAAAGCCCATACAAACCCTTAAATAAAGGATAATAAAATACTAAAATTGTCTAATTAACAATACGATTCAAAAAGAAAAAGAGAAACTAACCTGCTCTTCCCGGGACGAAAGGAAAGCCAGTTGTAACGACCAGCAAAAGCACTGTCGACTTGTTCGACAAGCATGGCCTCCGTAATGGCCGGCGGCAAGTGCCGGAGAACCACCTTGGTTCGATCCAAAGTCCCCTTCATGCCTTCCAAAACCCTAATCCTAGAAATCACACAAACCACAAAAATCCCCCTAAAAAGATTCACCGATACTATCTTTTATAAAAACTGGCTTCGAAAAAAACGCGAGAATCACTGTGAGATCACATCTTCTATAAACGGAGTTGATAATTGATCGATTAGCGCAGCAGAACCCTAATTTTTGCGAACTGAAGCCCAAATCGCCATGCAAGAGTGTTAGATACTATAGAGGAAGAAAATGCGTGAAGAAATTTTATTTTTTTTTTTAAAAGGGAGAATAGATTTTATGAAGAGGTCGGTTATTATTTATAACTAATATTCCGGTTATTTCGTCATTTTAATTTTAATTTTATAAAATTTTAGAGACCCCTAAATCCTAATAAATTTAGTTCTTTACCTATATTTGCAATTTTTTATTTATTTTGTACTGAATCTATTCGCAAGGTGAGCAGTACGCACCACGAGTTTTTTTTTCCTTTTTTTTTTTTAAATCTTATATGCTCGGCATTTATTTTTTTTATTTTTAAATTGTTATTTAAAAAAAAGAATTTAACTTATTTTCTCGGTGGTAATTTTATTTTTTTATTTAAAAATATGTAAAAAGTGATTGGTTCCATTTAGGAAGATGACCAAAGAAATTTTAAAAGTTCTTCACAAATAATTTTTAAATAAAAACTAAAAAATTGTATAATATAAATGAAAGAAATTTATAATAGATTACGATATATTTTAAAATCTTAATCAATAATAATAATAATAATAATAATAAATCTCCTTTCGCCCCTAATTGTTTGAGTGCTATTGATTTTTTAAAAATTAAAAAAAATTGACTTTAATATATTTAATGTTAAATTTTAAATAATTTATAAAATTAAAATTTTATGTTTTTTAATATCAAAAGTAAAACTCTATAAAAAAATAATTTTAAAATATACAAAAATAAAAATTTTAGATATTATAAAAATATGACATAATTTTGTGACAAAATATTGATAAAAAAAAGGATGACAAAAGTAATTTTATTTTTAAAATATTTAAAAATTAACGAAGTGTACAAAATATTAATTCAAATTTTTTATTTTTGTTTATATATATATATATATATATATATCAAAGCATATTCTTAAGCGTACATCAATATTATTACATAGTCAAGATTTAAAAACGATGAATGGAACCTTAGAAATATCATATATTATATGGTCAAAATTTTATGTAGTCTCATTGCCAATTGTTTATACCACGTTCGTTTCATCTTTTGGTCTGAATTATGGACTCAATTAAAATATTTGAAGTGGGACACAATTTAATATTACAATTGCTGAGCTCAACCAATTCTTTACATTTCAATTTATTTTTATCTGCCTAAGCCAATAAATTATGGTATAATTATATATAGGCATCACAATTGAATGTTAATTCCTAGTAATGTATATTCAAAGAGCAAAATCAATACTATTTTGTGTTGTTGATGGTGAAAAAAAATACCCCACGAGAATTTTATATTTAAATGTATAAGGTTTCATTGTATTAAAAATTCGATGGTTTATGATATAATAATAAAATTATGGATAAAATTATTTATATTGTCTAAATTTAACATTAAAAAAAGATCGAGATTTACGAAATAGTATTTATTCTTGTTACATAAAGGTTTAATGTCGAATTTTTTTTATTAAAATTTTATTAAATAGATAAAATTTTTATCGATTATTAGTATATCTTACTAATCAGCTCTAATTAATCATCATTTCATCGAAATTATTAATTATAGTTAAATTTTGGATACAGTGAGAATTTATCTTATAATGCATTCAAATGAAATATTAATAGCTTGATTATTATTAGAATTAAATACCATTATTTACACATAAATTTTGTGCTCAAAGCTTCTATATATTTTCATATTAAAAAAGAATATTGATGAAAATATTTTGATAAGTGTCAAACAATTTTAAGCTCCCAAATAATTGACAATTAAATTTTCCCTATATACGAATCTTGCAAGATTTTTCATATTTACAATGACAACATTTTTGACAAATAAAATTGGACCAACCCAACATTTTATTTCACATACACAATAAAACAATAAAAACCAAAACGTATTCATAAAAAAATTTTAAAAAATAAAAGAAAGATAATATTTATAATCTAAAAGTATTACAAAAAGGCTTATTAAACAGTGAAAAAAAGAAAAAAAGAAGGTGAGTAAAAATTTGAGAGGCTATAAGATACAGCAAAACAAAGCATCTAAGAGTCCTCTTGGAGTAGGGCTTAGGTCTCTGATTGACACTCTTCTCCACACAAAGAGGACAGCAGACTTTGCATCTCTGCCCCTTTTTCTTCTTTGCTTAGCTGCTCCACCTGCCACTCTCTCTCTCTCTCTCTCTCCCTTTCTCTTCATCAAAGTAAGTCTTGTTTTTTTTTTTTTTCCTCCATCTTTATATATTCTTATATACGTTGGATTGTTGACTTTAAGAGTTTTTATCTGTTGAATGAATGAAGCAGGCTTAAGAGGAGGTGAGTATATGATGGGAGAGAGAATCCCACCAGGGAGTTACTTTCAATACCCGCCTTCTGGAGTCCCTGCTTCTCCTCAAAGGCCTGCTTCTATTCCTACAGATCGTGAAAGGTTAGTTTTTCTTTTTCTTTTTTTTTTTTAATTTACTTTAATCAATCCAATCCCATGTTTTTTTTTTTTTTTCTTTTGGAAAAGCTTTACTCTAATATTAATGGGTTTTTTCTTGATTGGTCTAAGCTTCATTTTGCTCTGGTTGATATGGGTTTTGGAAGTTGGTTTAAGGAAAAGCTTAAGTTTTTCTGTTTCTCTAGAGGATAAGCTTCTGTTTGTTACTCCATGGTTTTGTTTTCTACTCAGGTTGATGCACATATTTATATGTGTGTGCTTTATATATTCAATGTTATCTTACAATTAAGTAACTATGGCAGATATTTAGCTGAATTATTGGCAGAGAAACAGAAGTTGGGACCTTTTACACAAGTTCTGCCTCTATGCACCCGGCTTCTTAATCAAGGTTATTGAATCTTCTGGTTACCTTTTTTTTTTTGCAATATAAGGTTCATTAGTAGTGTGATTTGTATCAATAGAAATTGCTTCTGATTGTATTTTGGGTTGAATGAACAGCATTCTAAACATAAAGCTATCTGTATCGCTACATGTTACATGTACGCTTGTCAAGGATGTCAAATCTTGTGCCTAAAGATACCATTTAAATTCTTGTTCTAATTAGTACGTTTCAGTCTGCTGGATTGCTATCATAGATTCATCACATGACTACACTGTTGGTTCATTTCTTCCAAGGATAAACCACTCATGTTGAAAATAAACATAATAATTGGCTAAAATATTGAACTGAAATATTAGACAAATAACAGCCTAGTACTAACTGTCCACCTAGCTATAATTGACCTATTATAATTCTAAACTATCAATATTTGGTTTTAAGTGATTACAAGCTGAAGTATTCTTAAATGATTCAAACTTTCAACCTTCTCATTAGTGGGTGTAATAAACTAGATGCTTCTATGCTCTTTTAAAGTAAGCATACCAGAGAGCATTGCACGAGAGAGTTCTACTAAAGCATGTAGCCAAACATGAACCCTAAATGATGACCTTTACCGCTGTAGGTAATTTGGACAACATATCAAATCACTTTTGTTTTTTCTCATGTCACTGCAGAGATCAGAAGGGTCTCGGGTCTTAATCCTAGTTTTGTGGATCATGAGAGATTTGAGCATGATAGTCCTTTTAGGTCATTTGGTCAACATCCCAATGGGAGACAGATGGATTTAGAGGGATGGCCTGTAATGCAAACAGAGGTAATGCTGTTCAATGGTTATAAACACAAGGTTTTGTTTTTTTTTAAATATATTTAAAGGTTTGTAATTGCTTACCTGATTACTAAATTTCAATTGTCTTGTTGTTGGCCCTCAATATGATTTATACTTAAGATTAAAAATTTGCTTCTCATTAATGTTAAATGAAAGGAAAATGAAATTTCTTTGATGTTATTATCTTGCTTCAGGAAAATGGGCATCTGCAACAAGTTGCTCCAATTCAAGCTGCATCAATGGGTTGGCCTGGTTTGCCAGGAATCCCTACAACACCAATAATAAAGAGAGTTGTTAGACTTGATGTACCTGTGGATAAATATCCAAATGTAAGCAATGTTGGAATCTTTAGTAAGTTTTCACTTACTACCTTTTAAGATAATAGATCTGAGTCAGAGCCTTTGCAGTATAATTTTGTTGGCCGAATTTTGGGACCACGAGGAAACTCGCTGAAGAGAGTTGAAGCTGTGACAGAGTGTAGGGTGTACATAAGAGGCAAGGGTTCTGTCAAGGATTTTGTTAAGGTAAAGTCAATCATGAATTCTTTTATTTTCAACATGTAATTTTGGTAACACGGTGTAAGTTTGAGATATTGGTGGTAAAAAATGTATTTTGACCAAAAATTATAGGTTGACTCTTAAGCTTGTACAGATTCGGATTAGAATGGAAGTGTTTTCTGTTTTCTCCTGCAAATTGGAGTGTGGCTGATTGTTGGGCTAGCCTTAGTAGTATAATATCCTAATTTTCATATCTCTCCTGACAAACCATCTTGTAAAGTAAGAGCATTTTAAATTGTAGGTGATGTGAAACTGCTTGTTTAATTTTATATATGCTGGTGATATGTGTCTCCATTTGCATTTGACATACTTTACAGCAAACTTCAGTACTATGTTTATTTATCATTTTAAATTTTGCACTAGTAACTAATGTGATAAATGCAATGATCACTTTTACTAAATAAAGCAACTTCTTGTTAAATACAGTCATACATAAGCAAGTCTTGACCTAATTAAAGACGGATCATGTCTAGCCTAGTGAACTGCACATTGAAGGGAAAAGTTTTTGAGTTTTCAACTTAAATATAAGAAAATCAAGTTTTCTTTTGATGTTTGCTTCACTTCTTATCTGTTTGTACTTCCTTTAAATTCTCACAATTGGTTGCTGACTTTTTCTATAGGAAGAGAAACTAAAAGATAAACCTGGATATGAACACCTTAACGAGCCACTGCATGTGTTGGTGGAAGCTGAATTTCCCGAGGATATGATAAATTCTCGTTTGGACTCTGCTATTGAAATACTAGAAAACCTTCTGAAGCCTGTGGTATGAACAAACAATTTGTGGTTTTTTATGTTAGTGTTCCTTTTCTGTATATTCCAACTCCTTCCTTTCTACCATCTTCAGGATGAATCCTTGGATAACTATAAGAAACAACAGCTTAGGGAGTTGGCTTTGCTAAATAGTACATTAAGGGAAGAGAGCCCAAGAATGAGCTCGAGTATGAGCCCGAGTATGTCACCCTTTAACAGTACAGGAATGAAACGGGCCAAGACAGGAAGGTGACCTTAATAAATTGATGATAAATCTTTGTTTCTTGCTGGTTCACTGCACTTGATTAATTGAAAATCCTGATTGTGTTGTGATGGATTTATTTCACCATAACTTAAGGGGTTGAGTCAAGAAGAGCTAGTTGAACTCCTGTCAGTTTTGGGCAATGATTTCTTTTCATTTCATCCCTGTTCTTTCTTATATGATTCCCCATAAAGATGACTTCTCTACATCATTAGTTAAAAATAACTTATTCCCTTATTATTTTAGCCATGTTCTTTCTGCTTCTGGATCTCGTAACCTCTAATGTACTCGAATATTCTTTGTACTGACAATCTTTCATATGCATGCCCTTCATTATAAGATACAATCAGTTATTGTATTGTATTTTGACTTAATAACAAGTATTGTTCTCCAATCTTGTTCATTTTACATGTCTCTGCCTGTAATTGAACTGGTTTAGATGTACTTGTTATGATTCTATTCATGCAAACAATGATTATGGCAGATGCTTGAAGGGATTTGTTTTGTGGTGGCTCAATGAGTGAGCTATTGATCAGCTCTGATTATGATTCTACCTTTTGGTTCATAGTACTCTCTGAATTCTCTCCCTTTTGCTGCTATTCCAATAGCTTTCTCCTTTATTTAATCGAGGAATGTCAATCTCCTTTAAGTCCAAATAAGGGCTTCAAGATTCATCTCTTGTATGGTACACACCTTAAGCCACAAGCAATTGTCAGATTAACTAATTTTTAACCACTTAATTTCTCATTTAATTATAGCGGGCAGGAATTCAAGGGCAATCAATCCCCATAGCATTATCTTCAAATATTTGAATGAATATAAGAATCATCCTTTACAAACAGTGAACTAACACCTTTCAAACATCTTGTACAAAATGGTATCCACCTCCATTCTAAGATGGCAGAAGCCTTGAATTGATAAGAAATTTCGTTCGAACGTATGATTACAAATACTACAATTTATGGTTGAAAAGTCATCTGACCTCACTACAGGATAAGCCTAAATCGTGATTTTGACCATCAGGCAAATGAGTTTTCTAAACAACACAAGCCATTGATTGCCATTTCAGCCTGCAAATCAAGAGGAAGAAACTCAGTGTCAAGAGCTAAAAGAATAAACATAAAAGGAGGATAAAACTTAAAACCAGACAACAAAAATCAATGAATAGAGTCAACATGAAGCAGTCTTAATGATCACCAAGAATCAAACAACTCAAACACAAGGTCCACAATCCACATCAATGGTGGCATTAAGTCCCATTATCATCAATTTGTCTATTCTCAAATGTGTTGCATGGATAGGGATGTGTAAAGGAGACAAACTGACACAGATGCACATGGATATAGTATTATAGCCTTGATTTTCAAGCTTTAACATGCATGGGGAGTGCCCATTATAGTGAAGCCAAAGTTCTAGATAATCAGAAAAGATTACAATATTCTTCGTTAAATTCAACCATTACGTGGTTTTCAACGCCTATAATACAGACATGAATGATAGAAAATTTTCCCACTTACAAACAAAACAAGGGATGTAACTGAATCTTGGTGATTTAGGACCAAAAAGACAGTTTATGTACACACCTCAAAGAAGAAGAGCTCAGTTTTCAATGATGCCGTCAGTCATTCAGTCTCGAAGGCCAAGTTCAACCTCGAGCTCATCATCTTCTTCAAACAACTTCAAAAGACGGGCATATTGTTCGTCTCGTTTCTTTTTTTGCCATAACTTGAAAAGGAAAAAAGAAAACAACCCCACAGCAACAAGCCCAATCAATATGATGACTACCTTGGTCCCAGTATTACTATTGGCATTAGACTTTGTCTTTAAGCTGTTTTTTGAACTTGCAGAGTCATCAGAAAAACCTGAAAAAAAGAAAACAAATTGGAGCATATTGTTTTAACACTTTCAATAATTTGCCAAGAAGCAATAAGAAAAATCTCTTCTTTAAAGTTCGTCACAGCAACTTAATATTGTTCCAATCCAATTCGGCTTAACCAACGTTCAAAAAAGGCTAACAAGCAAGTACCTAAATAGTAAGAACTATCGAACTACCAAACCATCTTCCTTAATGTATGCAATAAAACAACATGGATCTAGACTAGCTATGCATTACACCATAATTTCATGTGGACTCCACTTAATCGAACATCATAATTTCCCTAAATTTCATGGAAATCGGATTAAGTAGGTTGAGTTTGAAGCACAACTTAAGTTTGATCAGGCTACATAAACTCTAATTGCCAACTTATACCGCTAAATAGCAGATTCATTACAAAGTTCGAGATTCACAAAAGCAAATTGAATCGCAGATATTACATATACCTTTCAATTCACTCTTCAAAGTAAAAATTCAAACTTTATAGCTAAAATTTCTGGTAGTCGCAATTTCTCAAAACCAAACAACAAAAACTATAGAATTTAATAAAAAAAAATTATCCTTTCCTCATCTCAGCAGCCAAACAGGGAATTTAACGAATTAAACAGACAAAATTAAGGTAAGATTCGCACGACATCAATACATAAAATTTTCCGATCGCGATGTACAAGTAAACTGTACAAAAAAACTTGATTTTCCTGCAATTAATGATTCGAATTTCGACCAAATTATTTGATATTTCCATGACAAAAATATAAAGTTCGTAAAAAAAATTATCAAGTATAAAGCGATCTAGAAAGGAAACCTGAAATGAATTGTAGAGAAAATGAAGCGAAAAGTAGTAGAAAACGCAGCGTTTTAGTTCTTGAAATTTCAGTCATTCTCACCATCTCTCTCTCTCGCTTGGCAGAGAAAGAGGAATGTTATCTTTTATCGGCTTCGTTTGTTTTTACCGGTAAAATTAACGAATCGTAAAACAATTTTTTACTTAAATATATACTTTGCTCAGTATTTGCCACGTGGTTTAAGTCAGGTGACTTTTTTTTTTTCACATGGCATATCACGTGATCATTAGTGTCACACGTGTGTGTTTTGTCCGTATTTTGTTTAAGATTAACAAATTAATAAAAAAATTTACTCAAACGTTAAGTATTAAAACATTTTTTTATAGTTACATGATCAAAACAAAAAAGCATTAAAAGTTGGGTGATTTTTTTGTGTAATTTATCTTTTTAAAATTGTCATTTTATAAAACGTTGTTTTCTAAAATTATCATTTTATAAAACATTGTTTTTATAATATTGATTAGGGTTGACATCAGGTCGAGTTTGAGGTGAGTTTTGCTCGCTTTGAATCGGATTCGATTTTATGTGTTATTAAACCCGAATCTGATTTTATTTAAAATTTTTTTATTTTTTTATACTCGAACTCGATCCGATACTATATAAATTGTACCCGACCTGACCAAAAATTAATAAAATATTATTTTTAAAATATAAATATTTAAAAATATCATTATATTAATATATATAATTAAATAATTAATTAAAAAAAATTATATAATATCGAGTCGGATCGAGTTTGCTTAAAACCTGAACTCGACCTTATTCGACCCCGATTTTTCATAAATTTACCATACCTGACCTGAAATCGAAAATTTTAAAAAAAAAATCGACCCCATAAAATCGGATCAAAATACATCAATGACGAATTGAATTATTGACCCTAATATTGACCCTATATATTTTAATCATTTCAAACAAAAATGTTGCTTAAAATTTGGCTTTTTCTTTTCATTTTCTATTTAACTTTTATTTATTACTCATATTTACTTCCAATTTTATTACTATAATATTTATTAAAAAAATGATAGCAAGATAAATTATTTGATACAAAATGAGTAGAGATTTTTAATTTCACAATCAAAATTAATAGAGTGACATGTGTTTTACTTTTATTAATTATTTTTTTATGTTTAAATATATATTATAAGAAATGTGTGCTCTATTAATACAGCTCATAAAATTAAAAATTTTACTGTAAATTTATTTGATAATTTCTCAAAATTTTATACCAATAAAAAGATTTTGCCCTTTCTTTTTTTTTTTTTTGTACATTTTGATAATATTAGGAGTCAAGAGTTGATTGAAAATTATTATTATTATTATTATTATTATTGGAGCTTCTAAATGCACTAATTTTTTTAATTTTTATACCAAAAAATTAATATTTTTATGACTAAAATATCTATTAATAAAATTACTTAATTATTAATTATTGGTTTATAGTACTTACGAAAATGTACATCCGAAAAATTTAAAAATCATTTCGGATATCTATTTTAAGAAAGTTTAAAATTTTTATGAAAATCAAATTTCTAAAGGTTTTCAAATATATAAATTTAAAAGTTTTTAAAAATTTTCGAACACAAAAATCCAAAAACATGCAAAGACTTATGAAAATAAATTTCCATTATTGTTTGAAACTTGACGGAAACACATTTCCATAGGTCACATTTTCACACAAAAAAAAATATATTTATGATATTCAATCACCAAAAAAAAAATTACTTTTATATTAGAAATGATTATTTAAAACTCCGTATCTCTTCTTAAATTTAAACTTGTTAATATTGATTCGATTAAGAACTGAACGAGGGGAAGGAAATAAGAAGAATCAGAAGAATCGAATGAGGGTACAGAATGAGCGAACGAGGGCTTACCTACACAACTTGTCAACTTTGGTTCATTTTACATTTAAAAATGGCTGCAAAAGCAAACTAAATTTACAGTTTACATTAGAAAATCATTTGGCAGATTTTTTCCCTTCCTTTGCCAACCAATTATATAACCATGGCCCCATTGAAGCTGAGTGACAGCCCAAGCATGACATATCCAGATACGGGTGTAATATCCAAGTACTTGTATAGAGTTTTCTCAACTGAAACCCATGCGCTTCACATGGGAGTTTAAAGCCCATGATCGTGGCCCATGTAAAGCCTTTGTCCGAGCTAAGCAATTTTCCAACTACATTTGTTGTGGTTATGCCGTGCTCACTAGTAGCCGGAAGGTACACTTCTACGAGCCATTTGGTTCACGGGTTAGCTTCGTTACAAGGTGGTTGCAAGTCTCGATAATATTAATATATTGTTTGAATCCCTTAGTTGAGGTACACCCACAAAATTTAATGACCAGAAAAAAAAATCTATACATATATAGAAAAGAATCTCTAAGGAAATTATCAAATTACCATTCTCCTTATTTGATAAGAAAATAATATGCATCTAATTAATTATTTTATCTTCATATTATAATTACGAAAACATCATTTTTTTATAATTATTTTTTATAATACTTTCATATTATAATTATGAAAATATCTCTTTTCATAAATTTATTATCATGCCATCATATCATAATTACAAAATTATTTATTATAATATCCTCGTATCATAATTATAAAAATATTTCTTCATTTATTATTGAATTATGGAAATACTTTTTTTCTTATTATTGATCAACATTACTATAATATTCTATTATCATAATTACATAAATATTGTTCTCTTATAATTAATCAAAACTACTATAATATATCTCTTATCATAATTATAAAAATACCGTTATGAATGTTTAATAGGAAATCGACATATAATGTTTTATTTCCAAATTAATAATATATATTAAAACAAGCACCTTAATTACTATAATAACATTGTGTTTATATGATATAATATCTACACATGTCTAATTTTACTATAATGCTTTTCTATTGTAATTACGAAAATATTTATTTTCTTATAATTAGTTAAAATTATTATAATACCTTTCGAAATACTCCTCTTAATATAATTGACTAAAATTTGACATGTGAAATTTTTTAAAAATTTTACTATAATACTCTTTATTAAATTACTTATCAAATGTTAGATAACATTTATTAAAATAATTTTCATGAAGTTATTATAATACCTTTCTTTTTATTTGATATGATTTTGACAAGTTTCAAATTTATTATAATATGTTTTTACCATAATTATGAAAATACTATTTTTTTTCATAATTAGCTAAAATTTTAAAATATTTTTTATCATAATTACAAAAATGCCTTCCTATAATTGATCAAAATTATACAATACCACGTATTATAATTACAAAAATACATCTTTTATCATATTTGATCAAAATTATTATAATACCCATCTTTACAAAAATATCCATCTTAACATAATTGATAAAATTACTATAATGCTCTTATATCATAATTACATAAATGCTTTTATGAGTGCTTCATATAAAGTTGACATGTGATATTTTATTTTAAAATTACTATAATACTTGTATTAAATTAAGTATTAAATTTTAATATAATATAAAATTAATCACATATTAAATTACTAAAATACTCTTGTCATTGTTTTATATAATTTAATATGTGATATTTTATTAAAAATAATCAAAACTAAATGATTAAGTGAACTAAATAGTTATAATTTTTATTAAAATAAAAAATTAAATAATTTATATTTTACAATTAAAAATATTTAATTCTCAAAGCAGTAGGAATCACACACTAGTATGTATTGAGCTGAAGCATTTATTGTTAATAGAAAATGAACTTTAAAATTTACTGTTCACAAAATTCTTATTCTTTGCTTGATAGCTGTCTTTTTAGAATATGAGAGGGATTTGAATTTTTTTTGAAAGTTATCGATGACATTTAATAAGAAAAAGATGGAGTTAGATGAAAAGACAGATGAGAAATTAAATAAGGAAATAGAAAAAAAGAAAAAAAATTGGAAGTTGAAACATAAAGGTACAATCATGCCAAAAATTCACGTAAATTGAAGCATAAGGGTACACTATTTTAAAGTTATTGGTGAAGGTGTTAAATAAGTTGGGTGGTCTACGATGCAATTAGTACATTATGGATTGTACTTGCATGATTTATTGTTAAATAATTCGATTGAATAAAGTATGATATATATATATAATATGTATTTGTTTGTGTTGTATTGGACTAAAAGTTTTTAAATCTTTGATATACACGGCACAGTTTATTATGGGTTAATGCTAGTATATGTTAGGCTGTAACTGTTATGAATGGGCTTTTAATTTTTGAGTGTATTCATATAATTTTTTATATTTTTATGAAATTATATTTATTTCTTGATAATTTATAAAATAAAATTATATTAAATAAATTCTTATTAAATATTTAACTTATTGATAGATAATTAATCTAACTAGTTTACAAATCATTTGATGTATGGATTATTTTTATTTATTTAAATTAGTGCATATAAAAACAAATTAATATTTTTTTTTCAAAATTATATGATTAAAATCTTTAACCTTATAATATGTATAAATATAAATATAAATATATATACCCACACACATTCAAATAATATTTTAATTATAAAACAAAATGTCAGACTAGTTATCTGCAAAGATATAAGAAAAAACACGGGACTGCATCTATTATTTCTAATGATTTCACACAAATTACGCTTAATCAACATCCTAATGAATTTTTAGGTTCATTTTATTTTTCACAAGATAATTGGCACAATTGATTAGCTAAATTTATAATGTAATTTGAGCAATAAAAAAATTTAATATCTAATTTATCAAAAATTTCTTTTAAAACTTCACTTGCTTTTGATATTGGATCAATCAACAAAACTTTACTTGTATATGTATTACTAAGCATTTGATAGATAATATGGAAGTGTTTTGTTTTTAATATTAAAATTTTAATTTTAATATCTTTATTTAGTAGATTTTGTTACTTTCTTTTTAGATATAGACATTTTATAGAATCACATAAATTATATGTTCTTATTTCGTTTTATTTTGATTATCTCTTAATGTGATTTTTAATAATAATAAATTAAAAAAAACAAATAAAATTCTAAAAAAGTATTAATATAAAATGTCTGGCCTAATTT